TGGACAATTTTGGCCTTACATACAGAATAGACTTTAAAAGCTAATTCTTTTCCAATACAAGATACGAATTACATTGGACACCAAAGACTTACCATGCTTATAGAATGTATGCATCAAAACTATTTTTAAACTTTATTTTAAAACCTCGTTGCTTTGTGACAGTCTGGTGCCACTTTCTCAGTTCTTAATTTTCCAGTTGGTTTCCTATATTCTACCTCAAGTTTTAAAATTTACTGCAAGTATTTAAATTAGAATGAAAGGCTTGTCTTGCAAAGCAAAACCAATTCCTTATTCAAAGTATTGGAAAACAGAAAATAGGTTTCTGACATATCTGAAATGCTCACACATTACAATTCCATCACTATCAATAACATAAATGGTACCACTTTTACTGCACCAGATGCACATTTCAGCAATTCGTGTCTCGTCAGTGAAGCTGGGAGCCAAAATATTTAAAAATCCAAAAATTAATACAAACTTAAAGAGTTGATGAAACCAAAACAGACCAAAAGAAAACCCTGTATCCCGGACGAAAACATCAGAACTATGCATGAGGGAGGCACATTCCTTAATTTCAAATCACCAATTATACTACACCAGATGTGCATTTCGACAATAAATGTGTCTTTGCCAGGCTATTGACTAAATATGAAGGTTTTCTGTTCCGTAGTACTTGCCTAGAGACTGTTTCGCTAACCTTGGTCTATTTGAATACTCAACAAAGGACACTCTCCAACATTGTCAACAAGAATAGAATATATGACATAATTAATCTGTGTTTTGTTGATCTTGTATTCCTGGTCATTTAATCGTTTTAATTTTTCTCTATCTTCTTTAGTTTTTGCTCAAAACACAAAAGAGGGAAAAAAAACTCATTTAAGGGCAACCACTCCTATAAAGAGTGACAGTCTACTAACTATATCAACGAAATTTTACTTGTTAGTAGATCTTGCCTTGCTGATCATTTTTGTGTCTAATTATCTATTATAATTTTTGTCATATTAGGCAAAACACAAAACAAGAGTGCACATGCTGAAATGTCTTGCCTTCTTTACTAACCATTGATTTTATGTTGATAGTCCTAAATATAAAGCTTTACTACAACTATCACATAAACTTAACATGATCCAAGAAAATGAGGTCAAGGTAAGATAAACCAAACTGGTTAATACATGTACACCTTACAATCATTCCATATACCAAATACGCTTTAAACATAGTTGACCTATTGCACATCTAAGAAACAAACTTAACCAGGAAAACTTAAGATTGACCAATGAACCATGAAAATAAGGTCATGGTCAGATGAAAATTATACACCTTACAATCATTCCATACACCAAATATAGTTGACCTATTACTTATGGTATTAGAAAAACAGACCAAAAAACAAAAACGTAACACTGAGCAATGAACTGTAAAAATGAGATCAAGGTCAAATAAAACAAACCAGATTGACATATGTACATCGTCAAATATTTGCATACACCAAATATAGTTGACCTATTGCATACAGTATTAGAAAAACACAAAAACTTCGCTTTAACCACTGAACCATGAAAATGAGGTCAAGTTCAGATGACACCTCCCAGTTAGACATGTACACCTTACAATCATTCCATACACCAAATATAGATCTATTGCTTATAGTATCTGAGATATGGACTTGACCATGAAAACTTAACCTTGTTCACTGATCCATGAAATGAGGTTGAGGTCAAGTGAAAACTGTCTGATGGACATAAAGACCTTGCAAGGTACGCACATACCAAATATAGTTATCCTGTTACAAATAATAAGAGAGAAATTATGAATACTAAAAATCTTAACTTTTTTTTCAAGAAGTCACTGAACCTTGAAAATGAAGTCAAGGACAATGGACATATGACAGACGGAAACTTCATAACATAATGCATCTATATACAAAGTATGAGGGATCCAGGTCTTCTACCTTCTGAAATATTAAGCTTTTTAGAAGTCTGTTAACGCCGCCCTGGCAACCACCGCAGGATCACTATCCCTATGTCAAGTTTTCTGCGACAAAAGTTGCAGGCTTGATAAAAATGGTAAAAATCGTCATTAGATAGCAATAATTCCAATAAGGACTCGTCGGACAATTTCCTCCATGTAGACTTATTTGTAGATCTCGCTTGCTGATGATTTTTGCTTCTTTCAGTTTCTATCTATATATTATAATTTTTAAGCTTTTCAGAAGTTTGTTAACGCCGTCGTGGCTGCCACCACCGGATCACAATCCCTATGTCAAGCTTTCTGCGACAAAAGTTGCAGGCTTGATAAAAATGGTAAAAAACGTCGTTAAATAGCAATAATTCCAATAAGGACTCGTCAGACAGTTTCCTCCATGTGGACTTATTTGTAGATCTCGTCTTGCTGATGATTTTTGCTTCTTTCAGTTTCTAACTATCTATTATAGTTTTTAAGACCTAAGGCAAAAATGCAAAAATTAGTAAAAATCTTCATCAAAGGGCAATAACTCTTATAAGGAGTCGACTGAAGATTTCGGTCAAGTAATATTTGTAGAACTTGACTTGCAGGTCATTTTTGTAATTTAAAGTTTCTCTTTATCTATTACAGTTTTCAAGATAAAAGGCAAAAATGAGAAAAAAATGGTAAAATTTGTCATTTAAGGACAATAACTACTATATGAAGTCGTCTGACAGTTTTGAAGTATGTGAACAATTGGTAGAGCTCCACATTCGGAACATTTTTGTTTCTGTCAGATTTTCTCTATTTATAATGGTTTTCAAAATAATAGACAAATATTGTATTTTACGCCTATGTTTTATTTTTAGCCATGTCGGCCATCTTGGTTGGCAGGTGGGGTCATCAGACACATTTTTATAAACAATATACCCCAATGATGATTGTGGCCAAGTTTGGTTAAATTTGGCCTAGTATTTTCAGAGAAGATTTTTGTAAAGTTTAACAACAACGGACGACAGATGCCAAGTGATGAAAAAAGCTCACTTAGCCCTTTGGGCCAGGTGAGCTAAAAAGGAAATTTTTTTAAAGGTAATTCATCATATTTAAAAATTCAAAGTACCTGCATATAGGAAACAGGTATCTGACAGATTTGAACAGTGCTCACATTACAAGAATTCATTGCCACGTTTCAGACAAAAATATGGTGTCATTCTATTCAGTAGAATAAACATCTGTCAAACAAACAGATAGAAGGAGAGACCCCGTGGAATCAATATTACAGGGGAACTTGTTCCTTGTGATTTTTTTCCAAATATTGTAACAAGGCTATAGGGTCTACTAATTTGAGTCTTTCGTGATTTGTGACTTTTTTCTAAATATTGTAATAAGACTATGAAACTAAATTTGACTTTTAAAAAGATGTGACTTTATTTCATCAACATCTACAAAATACAACGTCATTGACTGACACAGATAATAATATACAGCAATATGATCTACAACCAGTTCACATTCACATATATTCCTCATTACGATTATGATACAACCAGTCATACAAAACTTTTAGATTTCAGAATCACAAAACAGACATGTATAGTATATTGTTGAAACGTGATAATTTTAGTCTGGTTTGGAAAAAAGTATTTCAATTGGTCTTACAATTGCAGAGGTTATTTATTTAATATCAGAAGAAACATTTTAAAAACTTGAGAATATTTAACAAATAACAGATGACAGATGATTACACAATTATTCATAGTAGCTAATAGACATAACATTCTTTTTAAATGTAAAACAATGAATATAAATCTAGATCAAGATATTGGAATAAAAATTCTATTGTTGTGCCCACTTCTTTTAATTTAGCTAATTGATGAATAAGTTCTTCTCATTGATTACTGTTATACAACTTATTTTCGTGGATATTCTAGCATTTAAATCCTCTTGCCAAATTAATGATGATATATTGTTAGTTCTCCTAAATTTGTTGATGTATTCTTATAAGAGAACACCTTGTTTTGTTATATTTGCTACAATTGTTTCCATTGTTTTTCTACTTGCAAAAAATTTAGTTGGTTTACAAAATATAGCAACAAGAGTAATAATCAAAGATAAACTATTAACACAGAGAAATGTCTCACCTATTTGTTATTTTGACAATGCAATGTTGAAATTAAAATAGGAATACTTTAACATGTAAGTTATGCAAATATTTAAAGTCAATTAACCATGACTGAAGGTACAGGGCTAAACAATCTCCATAGAAATGAGATGTGCCAATGCTATTACAACTGCATACCAAATACCTTTGACTTTTCATAAGTAGTTCCCTTTAAACAAACCTAAACACAAACATTAACTTGTAAACTATGTAAAAGTTTCAAAGTCAATAAACCATAATGAGGGGGTGGGGTTATATAATCTCCATGGAAATGAAACTTGCAAATGTCAAATATCATTGACTTAACATTAGTTGTTCATCTTAAACTAACCTAATCACAAACTAATACATGAAAACTAAGCAAAAAGTTTCAAAGTCAATAGAACATGACTGAAGGGGCAGGGCTAAATAATCTCCATGAAAATGAGATATGCAAATGTATATACAACTGCATACCAAATATCATTGACCTACCACTAGTGGTTCCCCATAAACTGACCTAATCACAAACTAATATATGTAAACTAAGCAAAGTTTCAAAGTCAATAGACCATATGACTAAAAGGGGGCGGGCAAAATAATCTCCCATGTTAATGAGATGTGCCAATTCTAATACAACTGCATACCAAATATCACTTACCTACCACTTGTGGTTCATCATAAACTAGACCTAATCACAAACTAGTACATTGTTGATGCCGCCGGACACAGCATTCCTATGTCTGGCTTTTTGACTCTGTCAAGGCGAGACAAATATTAGAATAATTAACCTCTCAAAGAATGATTTTTTGTTCAAAAAGAATTTAACTTTTAAAGATTTGTTTTCTCCTTTTTCTGTTTTCCCAGTATCAAATTTGTAACTGTTTTCCTTTTTGGAGATTGGAAACTTTAATATATAGTCTATGGCAGTAATAATTTGTGGCCAGCTCTTTAGAGTACATTTAATAAACACATTTGGACACTGCTATTAGCAAAAATTCAGTTATAACATATGATACATGAACAATTCATAACTCTTGATAAGATAGTATGGGAGTGTTCTGCTATTTTGGATTTCTATTCACTACAAAAGATCAGTTCAGATTTTTACTGAAAATAGCAAATGTTCATGCAGAAATGTAATTCACTGAACGTTTTCTTTTGAATGAAAAACAAAATATATGATTCATCTCAAAGAAATAGTTTGATTCAAAATTTTAAAAGATTGCTTTATAAGCATGCAAAAAATTTACAAAAAAAATTATTAAAAATTTCACTTTAACTTATGTAATTTTGATCATCAGATCTTTTTATGAAGAGTCACAGGCCTTGCCTGTTCTTAAATTAAAATTAAGGTAGTATAGATGTTTTTCCATAGGTAGTTTATTCTAACACTAAGATGTTCCTCCTTGTGGAGATAAATTTGACTGTACTCCTTAATTACTAAGACATCTCTGTACTCCTTAATTACTAAGACATCTCTGATTAATTCACTATCAAATGTACAGTCACACAGCTAATAAAAAATAATGGTTAATGAAATGGTTATGTACAAATGGATGAAAAATCTAACCATTGCATGAACTTCTGATAAAAGCAACAGCATTTTACTCACAGACACATCACATTCTAATTAATGAAGCAATTTTGGAAGCAAGCAGAAAATGTTAAGTAAATTGAAGCAAAGACATTCTATGGTCAATATATTGTGCTAATAGTATAAAACAGTATGCTCCATTTACAAAGTTATTCACAAAAATGCAATTTAATTTTATGGAACCTTCAAAACAAAATAAAATTGATAAGAAACTCAATCACACACCCTCAACACTTAAGTTATTTTCTTAGATTTACAAATCATTTCCCCTTAAACGATTTAAATACATAACAAAAAGATCCATAAATCCTCCAGTTCAGCTTCAGATAGACAGCTGTGAAACTGATGAGTTCAGCATGCAACTAAAATTCATTATTATATTTGATAGGTCAATCTCTTAAATTTTTATGGATATCCAGGACTACTAAAAGCAAATAAAAGGATAGAGTTCCAATGTTCCACTGCATTGCACATGTTCTATCTGTCCACGGGCAATAACTACACTGGTGAGGAGTGTTTTTTTTTTTTTTTTTTTCTCAATATAACATCTATATCAACCTGAGACATCATTATAATCCCAAGAGCTCTGCTCCAGTGATTATATAGGTTGACAGTTGATACAGGTCTGATATTGGAAAAAGCCATATCATATAAACCATCATATACCTCAAGTAGATTTATTTCTAGTGACATGACGTCTTTCAGATTTAGGGTTTAAGCCTTTGAAACAGTGACTGATATATATGATGTGACGTCATACAGATTAGGGGTTTCATAAAGCCATTGCAACCGTGACTGAGACCGATGACGTGATGTCAAACAGATTAGGGGTGTGATAAAGTATTTGCAACAGCGACTGTTATCGATGATGTGACGTCATACAGAGAAGGGGTTTGAGAAAGCTTTTCCTATCATGACTGATATCAATATCATAAAGGATGGCTGATACAGCAAGATTACCATTGATTGTATTACATATATAATTTACTTGTATTTTCTACTAAAGTATCTAATAAAAGAAATATAACAGTAATGTACCCAAGGAATCATAGATAATAAGGAGAAAGAACTACTAACTCCTGGTTCTTAAGGTTACAATACATTATTGAGTATCATGAGAGTAACAAAATGGCATGGATTGTAACTACTTATACAAAGGGCTTGTGACATCCCTATTCACATGAAGTCCCAAAAAGTAAACGTCAACTCAGTGGTAGTCATACAGTAAGATATCAGTCAATTTTTAAATACAATAAATTGTAAACACACATACAAATCAACTTTAACAATTTCTTAAACAACAATTATCACTTAATCAATAGGTTTTCTCATCTTCACTTTCATATAACACTTTAAAAATTTTGAACACAATGAAAAATTAAGAAAGCTTTGATTTGGTCCATTGTCATGATTATTGACAACCATTATTCCCATGCATCACATTCTCCCACAAATTCATCATGCTCAAACCATTATTGCAGATATTTTACAGTAATGGCATTTGTTTACGATTTAATCCCATCAATATACAACAGATAAAGTATACAGACATGACAGACAATTAAGTAATGGTTTTCTATTATGAATCCATCTGCACCATTTGGATTGTTCAGATCATTTTATTTTTTTTTTCAAATCAATAGTTGTAATACTTCAGTAATTAAAAAAAACATCTCTCTCTCATCACACACAATCTAATACATTCAAGAAAATTCCCACCAATCAGCTTTAAGCACTAAAATTATCCACCAATGAGATCCATCATACATTATCATTTTTTATCATCCTCCTTATATTATTCAGTGCTGAAAAATCAGTTCATGATGAAAACATCATATCATATCAGCTGTCTACAATTATTTACTGCACATATCTTGTTTTTATCCAATCAAAAGATTTACAATTATTCACTACTACACTCCAAGTAAATTATGCAGTTCATCATCTGACATAACCCCATCTGAATCTGACTCTTGATGTGGGGATTCCAATACAGCTGCAGGAGGCGGTACTGGGGCAGGTACAGGGGCGGGGACAGGCTTGGGTTCCTCCTCTTCTTTTACTGGTTTGATGGGTGACGAGTCCTTGTCAAAAACCTCCTGTTCAGGATCATAGGCTGCTACAGCAGAAAATGAATCCTGACTTTCTATAATAGCTTTAATCCTAGCATCTAAGTCTATTCTTTCCTGAAAAAATATGAGATCATTTACTACCTAAACAAGGTTTGTCTATGGTCTTATACAAGAAAATAATTTTCATAAGTACTGGGAATTCATAAATTATTAACATAACTTGATATAAGATAGGTGTTGCATTAGCTGCGAACCTTAGCTCTTATGGTCCTTTTTACAATTTTCAGATCTATGGTCTGCAAATTGTCAAAAAAAAAATCACAAGGTCCATAAGGGCTATGAGTTCCGCAGCTAGAGTTACCTGTGAAAGGGGACATAGTCTGTATTATTTACATGATTCTTTTTGGTAATTATAATCAGATATACAAATTTACTTGAAATCGTATGCTTTACAACATGTAGCATCTTTCAACAAGACAATGTGCAAGTTGCAAAAACAAATTTAACGATTCTAGATTCAGTAGTATGTTGATTAATTTCTATATTGAGTTTTCTCTGTGTCAATTTGCTTGCTGTTATTGAGGACTTCGTCCTTATACTAACTGAATGAATTGGTACAATGAATAGAAAGTCGAGTGAAAAGCAGTCAAATTTGTGAAAACCAGGCCTTGCGGTCATAAAACTTTCGAGCAAGATTATTGTTCTCAGTCTCAGAAATCAACCACTCAAAATACTGGATTTGGTGTTTCCAGCACAAATTTTATACTCTGAGTACTGAGCAAAGTTTTATGACCGAGGGCTCAGAAATGTGAGTTTTCATTCTTCCGTTCTTTTTTCTTCAATCATCTGGATCAAAAAGCCAAAATGAGCTTATGTGGTCTTAATAGCTGACTATACAGTATCTGTTTGCTAATTGTTGAAAGTGGAACAGTGGCCTATTGTTGCTTACATCTAGGACATTTTGTTTCTGGGTGACAGTTGTCTTGTTGGCCATTATACCACATCTTCTAATATATTGCCATCATTTGGTGTCTGACTTCTGTTGTAAACTTTTTAAAAAATTATCTCTTCTGAAATCACTCTGCCAATTGGGTTCACATTTGGCCAAGGCCTACATTACATCTAAAAATCATTATAAAGCAAACAAAAATGGCTAACAATTTATTGGTAAACAGAGTGCTTTCTGTATGATACAGACTATGGATTCATTTATTTTCATTAGCCCCAATTTCGTGGATTGAGGAAAATCATGTTTTCTAGGATATTTGAATTGAGGATTTTGTCAAAGTCTGCATTTAAGCCTATAGAAAATGTGTACTTTGTTGAACATTCAAAATTCATGATTCATCCAGACCTACGAAACCCATGAAAATTAGTATCCTACAATTAACAAAGAATCCAAAGTACAGAATTTCTGATTTAAAAGTCCCACCATATGACCATCCCTTCATTTATTTTTTCAATCTAGCAGTCAAGTAGTACCTGATCTTCCTGGTCCTCAACATCATCCACAAATTCTGGTTGTGCTTCATACTTAGCCACTTCCTGTGCTGCTTGCTGTAATGACTTGGATAGGTCATCCCCGGCTTCACTATCTACATCCATGTCCTCTTCCTTGGATTTATTACCATCTCCTCCCTTGGAAGGATTACCATCCCCTTCCTGGGAATGATTCCCATCTCCTTCCTGGGATTTATTACCCTCCTCTTCCTGGGAATTATTCCCAGAGGAATAAGGATTATATTCGGAATCATTACTAGTCACTTTCACATTAGAATCCATTTTTGAATTGCCATGGAAATTTTTGATGATTTCTAATTCCTCGTTGGTCATATCCACTTCGTTATCCTCATCTTCAGTATCTTGTTTCTCAGAGTCAGTCTCACCAGTTTTAACTGGTTTTTCCAACTCTTTCTCGCCAATTTTAACCTCTTTTTCTGAAGCCTTATCCTCTGTTTTTGTATCTTGATCTGACTGTTCGTTTTCACTTTTTTTCAATTCCAACTGATCCAAGTCTCCAAGTCCAGGAATTTGTGGCTCTCCTAAACCAGGGATTTGCGTATCACTCTGTAGACTTGGCAGTGATGGCCAGTCTGGGTGACTCTCTGCAGTCCGATTTGGTAATTTGTTATTTGGTATATTTGCCGAATCGACTGTGTCCTGCTTATTGTCTACATTGTCAGTTTTATCGTCAGATTTATCATTATTTATAACAGCCTGCTCTAAAACACTCGTTTCCATTGTAGAATCTAAATTCAATGAAACGTTTACATCTTCTATTGGTCCATTTTCTGAAAAGAATCGAATCAACAAAAATTACAGTAAAAGTAGAGATAAATAACTAGTATCTGTTAATTTACATAAAATTAAATAATTGTTCAAACAAAGGTATATTGATAGGTTTGGAAAAAAATCTGTGTAATGAAACCTATATAACCTTTAATGTCAATGAGACAGCAACTGAACTACACAAATAAAACAAAATACATTTAGAGCTAAAATTGGTACCAACAAAAACAAGAGGTTGTCAGAGTGACAGCAAACCGGATTTTCCTGCAGAGGTCGAACCCTGAACAGTTGAGCAAGTATGGACACTACATTTAAGCTTAAAACTGCTCTGAATTTGGATTGTGGTTGAATATTTGACACAGCATAGGTTTGTGATGCAAAATGAATGTGGTCAAAGAACTGAAATATTTGAAATTGGACATTTACCTATTATGGTCCAATATCCAAAATATAAGTACATTGTCAGAATCAGCATATCAAAGAACTCCAAAAATTCAATTTTTGATGAAATCAAACAAAAGTTTAAGGACCCTTTGGACCACAATGTGGACCAATTTGATAAAGGAGCTCACAATCCAAAATCTCTCAATACATGGTAAGATTCAGCATTTCAAGGAACCACATAAATTCAATTTTTGTGAATCAAACAAAGTTTAATTTTGTACCCTGATTTGGACCAACTTGAAAACTGGGCCCATAAATCTAATATTTAAATACAGGTTTAGATTCAGCATTTATAAGAACCCTATATATATTTAATTTAAGTTGAAATGAAACACAATTTAATGTTATCCATATATTTTCTATGCAAAGGGAAATAACTCAAACTGGATAAATAGATATGATTATAATCAATAAACCAGTGAAGTGATGACTAAGTTCTCTAAAGTTAGATATGATTTAACAATCAAACATTGTTAAAATCAGCATATCAAAGAACTCAAGAATTCAATTGTTGATTAAACAAAAGTTTAATTAAGGACCCTTTGTACCTCGATGTGGTATTATCTAACTAATAATGAAAATAAATACAGGTTTAGATTCAGCATTTCAAAGAACCCTATATATATTCAATTTATGTTGAAATCAAACACAGTTTAATTTTGGACCAACTTGAAAACTGGGCCCAAAATCAGAAATTCTTAGTATATGTTTATTAATAGACAATATAAGCTAAGTTTTGATAGTTCACCTAATCAAAAATATATATATATAGCATTCAGAAAACTAGTTTTAACAGAATAACAAACAATTTACAATTTACCAAAGAAAAGAAAAAGAAAAAAAATCAAAAATTTTATTTATCATTAATACAATGTCTTAAAAATCGATAAAACTAATCTGTAATTATCTTCAAAATGTCTAATAATGAACTGTAAATTTCTAACTATATCTACTCCTATATAGCTTTTAATCATCAACACTTAGAAAACAGAACATTTTCAAATAAATATGTCACTCAAGATAAGACATTAACCATATGTTTAGTAAACTGATAACAGGACATATAAACAGGTGAAAATTATCTTTAAAGGCTTAGTGTAATCAAACTTTATGTATATAATTAACAATTTCTGTTCAAAAGAAAATAACTCAATCACAAAAAAATACCACTTATGGATATTAAAAAGGGTGATAACTCACAAATGAGAAAAGCTAAAATTGTGAAAATTGAACTCGACCTTCATTTAGTCGCAGGAAACAACATAATATCTAAATTTGAAAAAAATTTGTCAAAGGGTTTTCATGTTATTGAAGATACAATGTTAGGCAGCTGCCCGTCCTCCCACCCACTGTACATCCCCAAATCAATAACCGATTTTTACTTCGAAAATCTGGTTAATAAATCAATCACAGTAGTATAATTCCATCAAAATGCTTGTGAGCACTGAAGGGTAAAGATTGCATTCATTTTGCAATGGAAACTAAAAATTACATTTATTAATTAGCATTGGAAGGCATTACTATGAATTGGAGATATAATTGGACTTGTTTCAACTTCAATTATGAATAAAGGAAGATATCTCCAATTTTAAATATTAGTTTGACAATGAAATCATTGATATTTTTTAGAACAGATACTAGATTATAAATGCATCATGCATTATTTAAGTAATTTTCTTGACATCATTTTGTATCCGAGTATATTTTTCGCTGTTAAATGTTCATTGGTAGGATGTGTATATCAAAAGCAGTGATAAAATCTGGAAAATTGACAACTATAAAGGTTTTGATTGCATGAATGCAATCTTTACCCCAATAAGGACTTAAATGTAGAAGCATTTAACATGCAGAAACAAAATACCTTGATGCATAAGATTCATGTATTTACGATTGACCTAATTCCAAGTATTCTGGAGGTCAGTAAAATTCAGCAGATTCATGTTCTTTTAAGTCTTATAATTTTCTTGAGTATGAGATTCCCGAAAGGTAAACTAAATAAAAGTGGTTCAGTCTCGCCTGTATGTAATTCTGATAGAAAAATTATGATTAAATTAGAATAGCAGTTCTTTAACAAGTAAACTGCAAAAAAAAAATTTAGGTCAATGAACCATGACTGAAAACGATAGGCTGTACAACAGTTAGACAAACACACAAACAGATGGAAGCACAGACAAGAAAATATATAGCCTCACTATTAGTCAAGTCATAGCAAAGGTCACTTTACCTGCTGTCAATCACTAACAAACATATACCTGAGGTTTGTTGTATCTCATTTTCTTTATTCTCTCTTTTCTTATTTTCCAAGTTTTTATCTTTATGCTTTTCTTTTATCTAAAATAAACATTACCTTGAATATAAAGTCAGTGAAAGTTATAATGAGTGACAAATGATGAAATACATAGAAAATTAGTTTTGGTAGGTAGGTAAAAACATTTTTTTTAAATATACTATATAGGGAAATGTTCTAAGACTTAATAAGTGCTGAAGGTATATCAGGTGTCTTTTTCTGAGCATCCTTTCTGGGTATGTTTACCAAGCATCATTCAATATACAACAAAAACATCTACATATGCCTCGTATACAAATTTGGCAAGCCAGAAAAATAATAAAAGGAAAAGATTATATTTTCACAAAACTGAAGTGAAAATCAGTTATCACCATCAGCCTATCTAAAATAAAATTGCAATAAACAAGAATGTGTCCATAGTACATGGATGCCCCACTCACACTATCATTTTCTATGTTCAGTGGACCGTGAAATTGGGGTCAAAACTCTAATTTGGCATTAAAATTAGAAAGATCATATCATAGGGAACATGTGTACTAAGTTTCAAGTTGATTGGACTTCATCTTCATCAAAAATTACCTAAGACCAAAAACTTTAACCAAACACTTTAACCTGAAGCGGGACAGACGGACGGACGGACGGACGGATGAACGGACGGACAAACGGAGGTACAGACCGAAAAAACATAATGTGCCCCTAGGTGGGGCATAAAAATTACTAAGAACATAGTTTGTCATGACAGTACATGGGTTTTGCTCATTTTTGAATGCTGTTTATTTACCTATGGCTGCTTCCATCCACATTATTTGGTCTCTGGTGTATAGTTGTCTTATTGGCAATCATACCACAACTCCTTATCTTTATATGAAGAATTCTGTAGTTCTGTCCACAAAATATGTTATAAAAATAAGGAGATGTGGTATGATTGCCAATAAGACAACTATCCACCCAAGTTCAAAAGAAGTGGATGTTAGCAATTATAGGCAACCATATGACTTTCAACAATGAGAAAATGACTATATTTGACAACATACCACTGGTGGAGTTGAGCCAAAGTCTTCTCCTGACAGAAAGAAACCTTTGAACTTGTGGTAGATTACTTCTGCTTTCTGTTTAATTCTCTCACTGCCTTTATACTTCCTCAACTACAAAGTCAACATTTAAGGTTAAAGTTCAAAACTCATTAAAAGGACACATACAAATACTGGACCATTTGATTTTCAAATGGTTAACATACACAGTACAAATTGTTTGCAAGCAATAGATTTTTTTACCTTCATAATTACTTATAATTCATAATGAGTATTAAACTTGCAAAAGAATTAACAAATTATCTTTTCAAAGGAGTAGGCCCCGTAAGACCCCTTTTTGGCCCCAAAATATAGCATTTTTACAAATTTGTTGAAATTTAAACTTTTAGCTATTTGTATTATCATAGGAAAGTAGAACACTTTTGTTCCATAAATATGGACTGATTTTACCAATGCAATGCACATGCACCACATACTAGCAAATTAAATTCATGAAAAATTAATGAAATCTTCACAATTTTAGCTTTTGTGCTAATTTTAAGACGGTCTTTGTCTAAATTGGAAGTGGGCGCATTTGTGTTCAGTCTGAATATTCAAATATATGTTGTATTTGATGATAATACATAATATATATAAAGGTTGAGATTGATCACAAATGCGGCCACTTACATTTTAGACAAAAACCATCTGAAAAGTGACGTTTTATGGCATATTTGATAGATTTTTCATATTTAAGCTTGAATTTGAGTGTCTGTCATGACCAAATCAGTTCAAATCTTTTACATAAACTTATTGAATCAACTGAAGTAGACACTTAAGTGTTTAAAAAAGGTCAAAAATCTTTCATCAGATGTACTTCAAATTTTAGGCCAAAACAAGCCCTTACCGAACCGAACCTTCTCCTTTGTATGATTGTTGCTAACATTTACAAAAGAATTACAGAATCCATCTTTTTCTACTTCAAGACTTAGTAGTTTCTACTTGAGACAATAATGATTTTCTATGTGTTTTTTTTAATTGTACTTGATTGTCTCCTATTCTAGTTTTTATTGCATAGCCCATGATTATTTATAAATTTCTTTTCTTTAATTGTTCCATTTACTCTTTTCAACATACCAAATAAAGTGTTATTTTAAAATTGTTCTATTGAAGGTTTTTTTCAGTCAGACAGAGAGTTCGTTCTTTCAATATTATATCTCATGATAGTACAATAAGACTTACCATTTTAATTGTCTTTAAAATGTCTGGATTTTTCTTTAACATGATCTGATTGACAGGTAGAGCTTCTAAATCTTCCATAATGGCTATACATTTGTCTACATCCTTTACAAATACAAGTAAACATGTATGATAGTGTCATTCAGTGGGACTAAAATTCTCTAAATCAAAAACCACATAATTAAATATCAATTTACAACAAAATATTTCCATTGACATGTTCTTTTCTAATTTTTATACAAACAAGAAATGATTGTAACAGGATGCTGTTACGAAGTCTCCCAAACGAAGCTCCCATAATTCGTAATTCCCAGGGTCGCCTTGACATTTGACAAAGTCCAGTGAAAATTGGTTTGGTCCAGTAAAGTTATATGCATTAGTGATGCCTGGGGACTAACCCTGTATATCATTCAAATCATCTTGGCATGACAAACCAGAATATATATGGTTTAGGGGTGGGATCTCGACCATTACCAAGATACTAGAACATTGGGGGTGGGGGGAACCCCTGGGGACTGACCCTATACGTCATTCAAATGTTCGAGACATGACGAACAGGAATATATATGGTTTAGGGGTGGGGATCTCGACCATTTACAAGATATTAGAACTTTCTTAAATGGCAGGGGGTCGGGATGACCCCTGGTGACTAACCCTGTATATCATTCAAACCATCTTTGCATGACAAACCAGAATATATATGGTTTAGGGGTGGGGATCTCGACCATTTACAAGATATTAGAACTTTCTTAAATGGTAGGGGGTGGGGTGACCCCTGGGGAATAACCCTGTATTTCAATTGATGTGCTTTTATCATGACAAACCAGAATATATATGGTTTAGGGGTGGGGATCTCGACCATTTACAAGATATCAGAACTTTCTCAAATGGCAGGGGGTCGGGATGACCCCTGGGGACTAACCCTGTATATCATTCAAACCATCTTAGCATGACAAACCAGAATATATATGGTTTAGGGGTGGGGATCTTGACCACTTACAAGATATTAGAACTTTCTTAAATGGCAGGGGGCTGGGGTGACCCCTGGGGACTAACCCTGTATTTCATTTGATGTGGTTTATCATGACAAACCAGAATATATATGGTTTAGGGGTGGGGATCTCGACCATTTACAAGATATTAGAATTTTCTCAAATGGCAGGGGGTCGGGATGACCCCTGTGGACTAACCCTGTATATCATTCAAACCATCTTAGCATGACAAACCAGAATATATATGGTTTAGGGGTGGGGATCTCGACCATTTACAAGATATTAGAACTTTCTTAAATGGCAGGGGGTGGGGGTGACCCCTGGGGACTAACCTTTTGTTTCATATAATGTGCTTTATCATTTAGAACATTTTCAATTAAAAAGATTGTGTCTATCACAAACGGTTTTCAATTTATAATCATTTGAAAATTTTAAAAAATAAAATCCCATAGGGTTCTATAGTAAAACCCTCTTTTCTTTTTGCCCCTCAAAGTACCCCTTTATGTACCCCATTGCACAAACAAAACCCTGATTGCACCACTAGACATGTTAGTCTAACATATTGTGAAACCCTAAGTTAATCTGACAAGCGGTTTTGGAGAACGGGTGCGGACAAGTTCAAATTTAAAAGCGGCGGAAGAAGAAGAAGAAGAAGAATAATAATAATAATAATAAGAACTGAGCAAAACCAATAAGACTTCGTTTGGGAGACTTAAAAAGAAGGTGAAATAAAAAGACCCATTACCGGTATAGTGAAAGGGTTCAAATATACTTTAAAATATGAAAAGTCAAGGACCATTTGAATTTTCACGAGAAAGTCCGCTTTAAGAAAGTCATAGGTCCTGTAAAAAACCATCAATATAAATGATGGAGGGTCCTGGACTTTTGCAATTCAAGTTCTTAGAACAGACAGACCCAGATCTTGGACCCACACTAATCTCAATCCCATAAATGGCCTCTAATTTTTTTTAAAAATGCAAGTAAAAATGTAAGCTATTGCTTCAAGTATTCAGTAAACAGAGATGAAGTCTAAGGAATCTGTAAGTCATGTTCACATGAACATGATGAAGCTTGATAGCAAATATCTGATAGTTCTTATTTGTAGTTCAGTAGAATAATTCATACATGGCCAGTATGTGTTAGAATAATTTATAAATATTCGGTAAACAGGAAGTTGATTAATTATGAATCTGAAACCGTGTCACATGGTAGAAGATGCTGACATAAAGCCTGATAACAAATTTCAAGATGCTATTATTTGTAATTATTTCGAAAAAGTTAAAGGCATTTTAATAAAAGAACAGAAATCCAATGTCCCCTGCATTGCACATAATTTATCTATCCAAGGTACAAGGGCAATAACTAAACAAAGCACTTTTTTTTTGTTCTTTAAAACTCTTAATTAATATCTTTGAGAAATGATGGATCCAGAGCAAATGCAATGAGATTTCCATTATAATTAATATTTCCAAGGGGAATGACTCGTTAAAAATATTTGATCAGCACTTATTTTCGAAAGTGTCAAAGACATTGCAGACATTAACCTATGATATAAGTTTTATAAAATTCTGGCAATAATTGTACACATGAGAGCCGTGACAATGCAATTTTCCATATGATCAATATTTCCAAGGGGCATAGCTCTTTTAACAATAATTGTCTTTAAGCAACGCGCTGCGCAAGGGACAAAAACATAAATAAGAGGTGGTTGTATTTCTTATAGTTTTTTCAATGATTGAGGAAAAATTGTGGGAGATGTATTTAAATGTATCAATAACCTACGAAATACATACAGTTGCTTCATGGTCTTTCTGTATACATTTCTTTATTTCTTTGTCCATCTGCATTAATTTAGTTTCTGTCTGTACAACTGTTAATATAGAACAGAAGAAATTTTAGGAATCAAAAATATGTTGTTTCTTAAGAAGGTTGGTAGTTCTCCCAGGCTTCGTCAAAAAAATAAAAGCGGAAGGCAGTGATAGAGCCAATAGTGCTGAAAGTGGTGTTAAACACCAACAATCAATCAATCAAAATCTTCATGTTTTTGTCATTTTTGGAATTAAGTATTCATTCTCTTCAGATACTCTTTATTTACACCTTTTCTACAGTCCAGGTGATTTAAGAGCGTACTATATTATATCGAGAACTGCCTTTGTTTGAATATTGATGTTGAAGTTTAAGTCTTTATGGGTATTTTGTTGATGGGTTGATGTATAATTGATGTTTACCAAACATTTTATACTCGTATGTACTACATTTGCACCAAGAAAATTTCTACCCATAGGTAATACTAAGAAACACATGTCATAATACTCCAAAGCATGACAAATATTCATTCAAAACCACACAAGTACAATTTTTCCACATTCCATGAAAATAAAGGAATCCAGAGAGTCAGGGGTAATACAAGTCATGTTAAATTACTTGAAGATGTAAGTAATATTTACTTATATAAGTAGATTTTTTCCGGGCCTTTTATAGCTGACTAGTATGCAGTATGGTTTTGCTCATTATTGAAGGCCATAAAGCGACCTATAGTTGTAAACTTCTATGTCATTTGGTCTCTGGTGGAGAGTTGTCTCATTGGCAATCATACCACATCTTCTTATGTTTATATTGTAAGATTTTTATCTTATTTTCAAGGTTTGAATATTCTCCCCTTAATCTTCTCAATAAATTTACTTTGCATATACAAGTAATCTTTTATTACAACCCCTTAAATTCTAAAGTTTTGGGAGGTCAAAACAAGCTTAAACAGAATTTTTCTAGTTTGCTAAATATTTTTTTACAAGAGTTCAACCTTTTATCTCAAAAACTAAACGAAGAGATCTATTACACCCAGATGTTAAGTAACTGCCAAAAATTTCTCCTTGTAAATGAGCAGTATTTTGAAGATAACAAAGGAGATTTTCATTGTCCATGAAATTACTGTAAACCAACTAATTTTCGCGGGCGATTTATTTTCGCGACTTTCGTGAGTAAAGAAAATATCGCGAATATAAGTCATCATGAATATGTAAAACTTGGATTTTCCCTTACTTAACTACATCAAGTAAATCCGAGAATCGTGAAATTAAATCGCCGCAAAACAGGCTAGAAAGGGCTAAACGTGAAATAAAGTATCCGCGAAAATAAGTTAGTTTACAGTATACTTTTATAAATAGTAAAGACAACTAAAAATGACAGACAATAAAACACTCTATTAGAGTTATGTAGTCAAGATAAATTCAAGAAAAGAAGAAAATAAACTTTTTTATTTAAAAACGTAAAAAACATCTCACTGTCTAAGGGAAATAACTCTATCTCCAAAATAATTTACCTGTACTAGTTAATAAAAAACACTTGTATAAGTATTACCGTGACTGACAGAACATACACTTACAGCTTATTTTGTCTTTTTTCTTCTGTTCATACTTTTCTCTCTTCTTTCGCTCCTTTTCTTCCTCTTTTTCTCGACTAAAATAGAAATAACATATTTATGGCTTTCATAAATTGCCATTAAAATGTGTGCATCCATCTAATTTTTCATAATTTTTCAAAATCAATAACGCTTTAAATTTTTATCATTGAACTGTATTTAAATTCACTTTTAATTGACAATGTTAAGTCTTCTTTTTATGTATCATTTTATTTGTATATAACCATGTTGGTTTTAAAACAATATTTGCTTTAATCTCAGTAATAGACCTGGCAGAGCTCCAGATAAGAATTCACAAATTGGGGTTTTTACCCACCATTTTTTTATGTAATTGGGTGATAAAGTTTTTTAATTGCATTATCAATTCCAATTCACCCCTCAAGCAAATATCAAATTGGGTTTTTCACCACCAAGCTCCTTAATGTATTGGGTTTTTTCATCAACACAATATTGAATATTTAGGCATGTTATAATCACATTATATCAACCCCAGATGTGTTTCCATCTTAAATGTGTTTCTTTCTTTGTAGAATATGTGCTAGCTGTTTTATTTGGTTTATTCACTGACGAGCAATTGTACATTTAATTTGTGTCCCGTTTTAAACGTTCTGTCAGTTTTGTATTTTCTCAAAACTTATGTAAACTGCAGCTGGTGTCACTAGTTGGACAGGAACTAATTGCCTTTCTAGATCCCATATGATCACCCTACAGTTTAATTATAGTTGGGGTAGGTGTGGCTAAGTGTTTAGATTTTTGTGTAATATATGTGAAATTTAGGTGCTGTAAGAAAGTTTTGCCAGTCCTTTCACCTATTTGCCAGATATTCTTTTTAATAAAAATAAAAAGTAGTTTCCAGATTTAAGATATACCCCCAAAACCTTGAGGTTTATAGGGTGGTTTATAATGACGGAGACCACATTCAACTTAAATTTACAAATAATTCTGCAACATCAAGTAAATAAATGACAATGTTATACTGCACTTGCCAATAAGACATCTATCTTAAACATCTAGAACAATTAGACCAAAAACAAAGAAAGTGTCAAGCTGCATTGACGTAAAAAACGGATATATGTGTATTCACTCATCAACTAAAATGAAAAAAAATAATATATAAACTGTTTTCGTTTAATTCAATTTTCATAAATCTGGGTTAAGTTGTCCCTTATCAGAACTTTTGGTTTCTGATGCTTTCAAACTACATATCATGTCATAATTGATTTGGCCTTTCACTTTTTCCAACTGATTTCGTTTTTGACGGAACCCCGTGTTTATCGCTCTAGCAATGTTCTCGTTATGGTACGCAAACACGCCCGTGCGTTCAATGGCTTCCTAAAATCACTAGCTGAGTCTTGTTATCATCATAACTTTCCCTCAGCTATCAAAAAGAAGCCGAAAACATGCTTCTATTCAATATTTTTACCGGACATTTACTTTCGTTTTAATTCATTGTATATTAAGATAAATCCCGAGCAATCCGAAAAAATATGACAGCATGTCACACGCTAATTGGATAAACGCCGAGAAGATCGAAATGTTTTCAGAAACACGTGTACCTTTTGAGCAACGGAAAATTCCAACAGGGACCCATTACAGCTACTTGATGCAGGGCTCTATTTTTTAGAACAAAAGGACATTTCCAATTATAAATATTATAAAAATAGATTTACGCGACGACTGTAATCAAGTAAGGGTAAATAACGCAAACGATAGCGAATAAAAGCGTTAAGAACCCATGTTTTTGGCATATAATTGGGTTTTCCTTTGAATTAATTGGGTTATTGAACCCTGCAATGGGCAATTGCATTGGGTTTTTAATTATTTTTATTGCGTGATCACGCAAATACGCAGCTTATCTGGAGCTCTGGACCTGGTCTAATTATATCTTGCTCTCAAACTTTCTATTTAGTCCATTGTCAACTGCAGAATAGCACTGATTCTCAGTAATCTCCCTTGAATTCATTCACCACTTCAGGTTTGCAGTGATTTAGAACTGATTGCAAAGATTGTCCTCAATATAGATTGGTGTATGATGAACTTTAGACGTTTAATATTCTGTATGCTTTTAGTTTGTTATTTAACTCTAATATCATGAATATATCTTGTGATATAAAAAAAAATATTATTCAAATACTCACAATTTCCTCTCTTTTTCTTCTTCTTTTTCTCTTCTGTAATAAACAATTTTCTATATTCATAAGAAGTCTATAAATGCATTGAATAAATCAACCTTCTGATAATATACATTTAATAATTAATTCAAATACATATTAGAATCCATTTTTGTTTGCTAGGACATTAAAACAACTACAAGGTGACACAGTTGGTGCATATTAAGCATCTGAAGATAAATCTTAGGCAATTGTCTTATATCATGTATATATTCTTTTTTATAATGAAAACCCAAGGTCTACTTTTTAAATGTGCTCCCTGCCTGCTTAGCCCTCTTTCAAAAATGCCTTCCCCATGTACAATCAACATTTATCTGAATCATATTGAACTGTTACAGTCTTCACACTTGACCCCAGGCTTGTTACACTTATATAGGACCTGTAAGAACATATATACAAAATTTTATACTCGGGTGTCAAAAGTTGGTAATATGAAAATAGTCTATTCTAAATCGGCAACACTTGACCTAGAGATTTTGCAACACTTTGATGTCAAAATTGTACAGGTACATCTGTGATGGCCAGTATTGGGAACAAATAAAAATAAGGTGTTTTAAGCACCGACTTACTGTTTTCTAACCCTTTCTATCCGTCGTTGTCGCTCTGCCTCCCTTTCTGTCTCCTGTGCCTCCTTATCTAATACTGTATGACTACTCTCCTCCTAAAACAAAGCAATAATTCTTAAAATTTTGGGGATTCATAATTTTCATGGATTGAGGAAAAACGTATTTTCCTGGATATGACAATTAGTGGTTTTGCCAATGTATGCATTCAAGCCTTTAGAAAATTTATGATTCCTTGAATTAAATTCATGTGTTGATTTAGATTATACCCACAAAAAACCATGAAAATTGGTATTCCAAAAATAATAATAAATCTGCAGCATTAATTTTTCGCCATCTTACGACTGAAGTAATAGGGAACGTGGGGTATGGGGAAAACACTTAGTCTATTAAAGAAGGGTTGCTGAGGGGGTTAATTAATGTACAGAGTATTCCCTTTTTGAAAAGTTATTTTATAGTAAATTTGACTTGCAATTGAATAATTATTTTCTTGAATTCTGCTCCATTATCTTAAAACTTTCCTAGTGCCTCTTAAAAGATTTAACATTTTACTAATTTGGGAGTACTTGTACATGAGAATCAACAGGTTTACTAGTATCAGACTGATCCCCATGTGTTAATCTCATCATTCTTACATGAGAATTAACAGGTTTACCCGAATCAAATTGATCACTATGTGTTAATTTAATCATACTTACATGAGAATTAACAGGTTTACTAGTATCAGATTGACCATTGTTAATCTCATCATACTTGCATGAGAATTAACAGGTTTACCCATATCAGATTGATCACTATGTGTTAATTTCATCATACTAACATAAGAATTAAAAGGTTTACTAGTATCAGATTGATCACTATGTGTTAATTTCATCATACTTACATGAGAATTAACAGGTTTACTAGTATCAGATTGATCACTGTTTGTTAATCTCATCATACTTACATGAGAATTAACAGGTTAACCAGTATCAAATTGATCACTATGTGTTAATCTCATCATACTTACATGAGAATTAACAGGTTTACCTGTATCAGATTGATCACTATGTGTTAATTTCATAATACTTACATGAGAATTAACAGGTTTACTAGTATCAGAATGATCACTATGTTTTAAATTTTTAGAAATGTCATTATCACTTTCATCTTTGATCGTCTCTTCTTCTTCACGGTTTTCTTTTATAAATTCTTCTATCGTTTTACTCGGCTCTTTCTTTTTCACTTTACTTTCAGATTCATTATTTGATTTTTCTATATTGTCTTTTTTTAATTTGTCCTTCTCATGTTTTGTATCTGTTTTGTCCTCTGGATCTTTCCTCTCCGTTTTTATATGGTCCTTTTTATCCGATTTCTTAGAATGTTTTGATACACTGTCTTTCGGAGAATGGGATTCTCTCCTTTCTTTGACTAATTCAGACTTATCTTTGTTTACCTATAAATAAATGAAATGAATTAAAGAAAAGCAAACAATTTCTATGTATATTTAATTTTTAACAGAAACAAATAATGGTTTGTGAAGACAAAAAATTAATAAGATCTTGTTCACTGTAAGCTGAAAAGTCAGCACATGTTTAATAATTAAACATACTAAAACATAAGATAAACCATCTATGTGACACTATTCTACCATGCTTTAGTTGGAGTGAAGTTATTTCAGTCTGTAGAGACAATACTTTAAACCAACTTATTTTCACTAGCCATTTATATGAAAAATCAAGCTAAATTAAATTGTTGTAAATATGTAAAAATTGGATCTTCCCTCATATAAATACATTAAGAAAATGAAAAAATTGTAATAACAAGTGAAACTGAGAGCTACTGCTCACTGATGATACCCCCGCCGCAACTGGATAATTTTAATAGTGTAAAAATATGTAAGTGTTCAGTAAACAGGAAGTTGTTGAGTGATGAATCTAAAAACACATCACACGGTATAGCTGACTTATATAAACCCTGAAACCAAATTTCAGAAATCCTTATGATGTAGTTCCTGAGAAAGATGTGACAAAAAATATTCATGGGACGGATGGACGGACTGACGGATGGACGGGAAGACAGACAGACAGAGGTAAAACATTGTTGATATATACTCAGATGTCCTTTAATTCATATCTGTTAAGAAAATATTCTTTATAGGGACTAAAATTCTATCACAATTCTACTCATTTTCCAAATTTGAGATTTATTTTGCCTCTACAAATTTTGGTGAATTATTGATGTAAATAATGTTAACTATGCAAGATCTAACAAGTTTTAAGGGCTGTACAATAAATTCATTGGGTGGGGGATGGGAGAATTTCTGATTAAAGAATTTTAAGTAAAATGAAAATTTAAATATTATGGGTGGTCTGGTCATAAAAAAGTGCCTCCCATACCCCAATGCATTTAATAGAAATAAGAAGATGTGGTATGAGTGCCAATGAGACAACTCTCCATCCAAGTCAAATTGTGTAAAAAGTAAACAATTATAGATCAAAGTATGGCCTTCAATACGGAGCCTTGACTCACACCAAACCCTGGAACAGCCCTATACAGATTTTGGGTGTAAATCTAGGCTTTTTACATGTATGATGTACTATGCAGTGAAAATTGAAACTTCCATGTTTCAATTTGAGGTTTATCTCCACATAATATACATTAAACAATAATCCAAACTATTATCAGTAACTGCTGCTAAATCAAAACAAAGCAGAATTAAAATGAAATCACTTCAAGGTTAATACATTTTGTAATTGAGCAGGAAAAATATTAAAGCTTGTAAAGCACTGTTACATAGCAATGTCAACACCAAGCACAGGTCAGGACAGACATGTTATACCTGTAGCTTTGCAACTGGTAATTTCTTTTTCTCATCACCATGCTAAACAATGTATAATAACAATAATGTTTTTTAGGGGTATTCCATAAAAACATACATGGGACCAAGGGAAGGCACTTTGAAATCTCAACTATGGGTGGGTGTGAAAATTGAAGAGTAAAAATGTAAAGAGAAATTCTAAATTTCCTCTACAGTTGGTTACACCATTTTCAAAGTGCCTTCCCTGGGTACCATGTATGTTTTAATGGAACAGCCCTTATGTACTTTTGGTAAAAATTCTCAAAAAAAATAATATCTACGTTTATGGTTTACTTAATATATTTTTGATAAAAATGCGGAATAAATTCATAATTTTACCTTTTCCTAATGGATATTGTAAATTCTGAATTTTTGTATGAATTAAATAATGTGATTTCAGTTAATGCTGCATACAAATAATGCTATCATAATTCAAACTTCCCCCCCACTTACACCATCTTCATCAAAAAACTTTTTTCTCTTTCTTTCACGTTTTGGGGAAGTACCATCATCACTCTCAGAATCCTCTTTTTCAGCTTCGGCTTTTAATCTTTCTTCATGGATTTTCCTGATTCTCTCTTCCTCTTCCTTATGGGCTCTAAAAGAGAAATGATAACATTTACTTTAACCTTCATTATAACCAGTTGAAAATTCTTACTTCTATGATGAATGTCACATTTAAGTGTTTCAGTAGGCCATAAAAAAAAATTTTAGATTCTCATCCCCTTCAAGGACTTTTTCAGAGCTCCAATCTTCCTCCCCCAACAAAAAAAAAGTTTTGATTTTGGGGTATTTTTTGGCATTTAATAATTAGTTTTCACACAAAAAAATGGAAAACACATAATTAAGATATAAAAGTTGGATGAGAAACTAGATTTTTTTTTAATGGCCTAATACAAACTAACTGCAACTTATGGCTCTATTAGGTGCCTATGATATATTATGCTGTACAAGTTTAAAATGCATACATTTCTCCAAATTGTTTCCGAGGGTGGGTACACTGCATAGATGCCAACCCTCTTTTGTTGCAATCAGTTAAAAAAGTATTAAGATTTCCGTAATATGTGATTTTTTTCAGTCATAATAATTTTTTCATAAAATTTTATAATAATCTTACAAACTAGGCACACAGTAAAAAATAAATGACGTGCTTTATTTATGACAACTATGATTCAAAGTTGATGAGCAAGTGAGGAACACCAAACATCACGCTGAATAAAAGTCTTGTTCACTATATTTGCAAAAGGCATAATTTTCTGGTTTATGATTTTCTTGTCTAAATTTTCTTTCCTTACTGCAGAAATTCAATTGATTCATAAGATATCGTCAGACTTCCTGCATTCATTAATTATTCAGAATTACACAAGAAATGGATAGATTTTTTTCTACTATATATAGTCCAAAGAAACCAGAAAGAATTTAATAATCCAAATCACTCAAGCGCTTATTGTTAATAAATTATAACCAAAATTGAAGCGAAACAATGACCAAAATGATATCTAAACAGGGTAATGAAAGAAAATCCGTAACATGTAGAATGTTAATTGGAAATTACGGAAAAAAATCGTAACGGTTGGCATCTATAACCCTGCTTTTGAAGTACCTTTCCTGGGTACTATGTACGCTTCAATTTAACAGTCCTTATTAAAAATATGCATGAATTTCAATTTCCCATTTGACAAAGACGAAAAATCTATTTGACATGTACAAATTAATGTGGCTACAAAACAGTTACCAAAATAAGGGCCTACGGTCACAAAACTTTACTCAGTACTCACAGTACAATATCTGTACTAGAAACACCAAAACCAGTATTTAGATTGGTTGAATTCTGAGTCTGACTACGATAGCCGTACTCCAAATTTTTATAACTGCAAGGCCGGGTAGTGTTTGTTTTTTATGTATTGAAATGGTTTAAAATTCCGTTATGATACTATTTCCTATACTGCAACATGTACAAACCGTTCCTCTGCCTCTTTTATTTTTCTTTCCATTTCTTTCTTTTTCTCTAAATCTCTCTTTTTCCAGCTACTCAAACCATCTTCAGAGTCACTTTAAAGAAATACGAAACAATTACAAAAGATATACCAACATTAGTTGTGATTGATTGATTGTTGGTTGCTTAAAGTCCAGTGGCAAATATTTCATGCATGTTCAGGATAAGAACAAATTGTGTTTTAATTGATTTTATTCTCTGATGCATGATTTTTTATTATTTTTTTTTGGCTTTTAACTAGCTTTCAGTAACAGCAAGTACTCTCAAATTGTACTTTTGTATTAATTTGACCTGTTGACAAAGTTTGTAATGCATTTCTGTTATTCAATGTTTACATATTTTGTGTTATATCTTGTATTACTATTTTTAATATGTGCCACCTTTGATAAGTATTTAGTATGACGAAAAAAATTTCACTTCTGTACTCGTACTATGAATAACAAATTTATTTTGTAAAAAATGTTTCTGTACTCCTAACAGCAATATTATTATATTTAAATTTACTTGTGTACATTACTTTATTTAATGCTATTTTGTCCTAGTTTAAAGTTGTCTTTTTGACATTGATACATCTTTTTTATTTATATTTTGTCATAGATCAAACTTATTTGTTCAGTGTATATTTACTTGTTTTTGTGTATTGTCTTTTTGATCGAATTAAGCCATTTCAATTGTTATTTTATTGTGTGTCTTTTTATGTTGTAATGTTATACCGCTGTTTCAGGTTAGGGCGAAGGTTGGCACCTGTTAAAACCCGCTGCATTTTTATGCACCTGTCCTTAGTCAGGAGCCTGTTTTCAGTGGTTGTTGTTTGTTGGTGTGGTTCATAAGTGTTTCTTGTTTTTTATATAGATTAGACCGTTGGTTTTCCTGTTTGAATTTTACTTTTTTTGGGCCCTTTATAGCTTGCTGTTCGGTGTGAGCCAAGGCTCAGTGTTGAAGGCCGTACTTTGACCTATAATTGTTTACTTTTTACACATTGTGACTTGGATGGATAGTTGTCTCATTGGCACTCATACCACATCTTCTTATTTAAACTAACAATAATTACAATAGGTATTAAGTACTATAATAGTGGTTGCCCGAGTAGAAGGCCTGCCTCTGGAAAATGAAGGCATATTGAATAGGGACAGAATTTTGCCTGCAACAGGCCACCTACTGAACCTTTTTTTTCTGGACTGAAATCCCAAATTCCTTTTCAATCATTGGCCTTTCAGAACCATTTAGTCCGACAAATATGACTTTTTTCGGAACCTAGTCCATCACCCATAATGTGTATGTTCATTTTTAAAAGAATTGTATTTGCTTCCACTGTTTTTATCCACTTGTGCTTCTGAGCACTGAAGGGTAAAGATTGCTTTCATTTTGCAATTTTGTGAATTTCGAAACAAAACATTGATTTTGCTAGGCAAGTTAAAAATTTGAGTTGGAGTTATCTTCCTTTGTTCATGATTGTACATTTGTAGTTTTGAACCCATTTTTATAACATGGGATTCATGCATTACTTTTGTAATTTTTCATAAAAAAATGTTTTCTTAACAAGTATGGTAATTCAAATACACATCATATTGTAACATAAATATCAAAGTATAACATATCATCAATAAATTACATGACATTGACTAGATAGGGTCTTAATAATGATCACTTCACTGAACTATTTTGTTTTAACTATCAAAATTAGTGATCAACCTTGGAAGATATAGACCATAGGGTTTTGATTACATTTCATGCAATCTTTACCCCAAAAACTACATCATGTGATGTCCAATCCTCCCAAACCTTTTTCCTGCTGATTATACTATTATTTACCTGTCACTAGATAGACTGCTGATATCGCTGGATGCAAGCTTGGAAACACTTTTATTCTTTCCTCCAGTCGATGGTCTTGAACCTAAAATTTATAAAAATTAATATCAAAGTCATTTCAACTTGACCTTTCAATTCCCTACTTCATATTTTATTTGGAGTATGAATCTTATGTTTGTATTTTGATTGAATGAAGTAAAAATATTCAGACGGTAATAGGATGTACATGACTGATTCGCAGACATCATTTCTTATGAATGAAAAATCATTTTAATTGATAAATTCAGTCATCTTCATCAAATCATAAATTCTGTACTGATCTAAATACTGATTCATTCATCTATTTTTATTGGTGCTGATATTTGTGGATTGAGAAAAATTAAAGTATTTTGTTGAAAAGTGATTTCATGGTTTTGCAAAAGTCAGCATATAAGTTTAAAATATAATATTTACTTTGCTGAACATTTGAAATTCATGGTTGACTAAGCCTGTACCAATACAATCTGTGAAAATTGGTCCCACATGAATAAATAGGAATCCTAAGTATTTGCTTTCAATCTTCATTCACAGTTGCAAATATCAGTTATGTAACATTGAAAACTTCATTTTCCAGGGATCAATCTGTACTCATTCATCGTCTGAATGGCAAATTGAGATTTTTGTGTAAAAATTACAACCTGCTATTATTTTCTTTATCATGACAATAAGATAAGAAAATCTACCAGCATAAGCTTTAAAATATTTGTAAAACATCACAGCAATTAAAGCATTAGTGTGGGTGAAATTGTTTTTATTATATCAACGTTGATGGTCTGTGGACAAAGTAAAACCAATAAACCTTCCAACATTGTCCAAGTCGTGTATGTAGGACAATTTCAGATGTTCATATTTAAAAAATAGATCAGAGACTCCTATGGCCAGGTTGTGAGGAAGTTTCTTAAACACAGGAGAACGTTTTATACTGAATATTTAAATATTTGAAAAATGACTAATTCCCAATACCAAAAGTACCCACTTTTCCCTGCCCACACACCCATCAGCCAAACATCACCATATCATAAACCTGTTTTAAACTTCGTCTTAACTAGCAAGACGTTTGTAATTCTGGTTGGATATTGTGTTATGTCTTATCATTTTTGGTTTGAATTCTATTTTTATTTTCTACATGTATGTAAAAGTTAAGATATTTAATCAGCTAGTTCATTTATATGATTTTAGTTTAAAGCTACTATATTCACAGGATTTATTTGTTTTTACAGTTTTGATTTAGAAGAAAAACCAACATGGTTAGAAAATACAAATAGTTACACCATTACAAACACAATTCTATATTAATATCCTTGTAATGGTAAGATTTGATTTGATTTTTGGTGTTTTAACGCCACTTTTAAGCACCGCTTTTGGGCACAAGCGGGGTTGTACTCACAACCTTAGTGTTGACTGGCTAGTGATAGTAACTACTTAGACCACTCGGCCACCGAGGCCCCCTGTAATGGTTAGAAAATACATAAAATAACACCATTACAAACTCAATCCCAATTTTATATTCTATTTTTAGAAATTTACCTGTGACGTCACTTTTTGTGTTGTTGATTCATTCATGTGACGCGCAGTTCATAATTCTATTGTGGTGTACTTGTGTACTGTCGTAAATTAATTAGGTGTCCGTTGTTATTCTGTGGTTTACATGTTGTAATGTACTGTTATATTATTTATTTATGTATGTCTCTGTCCTGAGTGTTCTTGGGTTTAGTTGTAATGTATTCCTGTCACGTAATGTTGTCATTTTAGCAGTATTTTTAACATTGCCATATAAGTGGGAGGTTTGGCTAGCCATAAAACCAGGTTCAACCCACCATTTTGCCTTAAAATGTCCTGTACCAAGTCAGGAATATGGCAGTTGTTATCAAATAGTCGGTTTCTATGTATGTTGGCGTTTGTTTTTATAGCAGTTCAGTGTTTATGTTGTTCAGTTGTTTTCCTCTTGTAGTTGATGTGTTTCCCTTGGTTTTGGTTTGTGACCCGGATCGATTTATGACTATTGAACAGCAGTATACTACTGTTGCCTTTATCTAGCAAAAATGATACCATACATATGAAATAAGTATTATCATATGATAATCTTTAGACACAGAGATATGTCTCACCTGTCGGCATAAAATTCAGAAAAAGACAATCTGATGAACAGCAACATGATTTACTAATTCAGTCGCTGGACCATTATCTAGTAGATCGGATCAAACTGACATAAGCAGAAAACTCAACATGCTAATTAATTTTAAGTTGCTGGACAATGACCTAGGGGACAGGGCCTCGAAATAGTCGTCAAACTGATATGTACTGATAGTAATGCAACTTTGTATTAAATGTCATTGATCTATCACAAGTATTTCCTATCAAAATAATTTAAGGAGATAACTTAACATTGAAAATTGCTAATTAATTTAAAGTTGCTGGACAATGACCTAGGAGACAGGGCCACGAAATAGTCGTCAAACTGATATTTACTGATAGTAATGCAACTTTATATTAAATATCAATGATCTATCAGTTCCTATCAAGCTAACTTAAGCAGAAAACTTAATTTTCGTCACAGATGAGACAAAAATATATTGTGACATCCCTGATTTATACCTTTGCTTTGTCGCTTTTGTGCTGGTTTGGCTGGTGTTTTCTTTTTCTTCTTTTCCTGTTTCTCCTCATTTGATTTTTCTTTCTCCACTTCGTCTTTATCACTTTCATCTGAATCAACTGATTTTCTCTTTGATTTTGTTTTATTTGTCTTTCCTGGTGTTTTCTTCTTGCTTTTCTTTGCAGGTTCATCCATTTCAAAGTCCTGGAAAAAAATGTGGCATTAATTCTTGCCTTGATTACAATCCCTCCAAAAATACAAGCAACATTTATTTGCCATGTAAATGATGAGACAACAAAACAAGCTATCCTTGAAATAGCAAATTTTTGTTCCACCACAAAAATTGATACAAAAAAAAAATATAAACATCCACAGTATCTAGGAAGGCTGTTGGGAATTAAATGAATTTATTTTATCCAAAATTCATGATAAATATTCAATCTTTCATTACCACCCAATGTTACTTCTACCTAAAACTCAGATTACAATTATACCCTGCATGTTCCTTATGTTCAATTTTATACTAAAAGAAGGTCTTGTATCTAGCTCATATTTCACCAAACTGGTTAGATTCAAACACAAATAAGTCTTATATAGACATGTGCACAAAATTAAAAGCCTGGTGTTTTTTTTTTCTTCTTTAACCTACTTTAACTATTTACTGAAAATTCGGAGATTTTTGTGATGTTTGTGAAAAATTGCAATGAGATTGGCGTCACAAAAATAAAACCTTGCATTTTAAATTTTGATACCTTTACTTGTATTCATTTTCAAAAAATCACATTATGTATCTTGGTCATAAATGAGGGTGTTAAATGGATAATTTTGTACAACGTGTTTGCAATTCTTATTTCATGTGTGTTTTGGGCATGAAACTCACTATTCATTGTGTCTCATGTAAATTGTTGATGTGCAAGCTATTTCTTTTTTTTTTAGTTCATCATGAATTGGCTATTTAATTTCAAGTTTGTCAGTGCATATACCCCCCTTTCGGACCCTCTTAAATTAAGGCCTGTGTTTACCTCATCCCCTTCATCATCATTGTCAGGTGATTCTTCATCCTCTTCTTCTTCGTTTTCCACCTCTTGATCAGAATGTTCTTCTTTCCTTGCTTTCTTTGCTGGTTTACCCTGGATAAAGAGTTAGGTTGAAAAATAACAAGAAAACAAAAACTACATAATGATATCAAAATTACTAAAGTAAATGCAGTCGTCATAAATCAGGCCCTTGGTTTTCTTTCTTTAATTGTTTTAAATTTTGTTATGTTAGGTAGAAAAGAATATCAAGAAAACAACCACAAACATAATGATTTGTGAAAATTACTGAGGTAAATGCAGTCTTCATAAATCAGGCCCTTGGTTTTCTTGCTTTAACAGACAACTTTCAAGTTCGTTGCATTTCCATCAAAAACTTTGGTTTAAGTGAACATCATTTGTGCGTTTAGGGGCATCGTCACTTCATTTCCATGTTGAGTGGTTGAAAAAATATAATAATGTATTGCACGAATTTTTCGGCAAATTAAATTCTTATAATTGATAATCAGCACTGCTGTCGTTTTGGAATTGTGATTAAATACCTACGGAACAAACATTATTTCTAGTTTATCTTGCATAATGACAATCACGAATACGCTTGATGAACTATAATAGTGCAGGGATACAGGCAATCCCCTCTATCTGGTAAATGACATCATAAAGGTGCACATAATTGACAAACTTTTCCTGTGAAGGACACAACTGGAAAGTGGTATATTGTTTTACATTTTATAGCGAACTACGTGGTATGGGTTTTGCTTATCAAAGACCATACAATGATCGATAGTAATTTTTAATCTTTGTCCTTTATTAGGATTTGTCTGACAGAACGACATATTTTGAGAAGTCTTGCTACATGATCTATTTTTGTTTTTTACGCATTTGCTTGTATTTTTAACAAAAACTGGTGTTATTCTTTATTTAAACAAATATTTAAAACCAGATTTTTAAAATTATGGTTGACATGAACTTTTAGTATGTCTCATCCTTATTTTCTCCCTTTTAAAGCAAGAACGTTAAAGTGCCACTCACCCCTGATGTAGACTTTTTTCTTTTCTGTGATTCTTTTTTCTTCTGTGTCTGCGGTGTCTGAAGAAAAAAAAAATGAAATAAATATTATGTCAAATCATAACAAGAATGTGTCCATAGTACACATATGCCCAACTCACACTATCATTTTCTATGTTCAGTGGACCGTGACATTGGGGTCAAAACTCTAATTTGGCATTAAAATAAGAAAGATCATATCATAGGGAACATGTGTACTAAGTTTCAAGTTGATTGGACTTCAACTTCATCAAAAACTACCTTTACCAAAAACTTTAACCTGCCCACTCGCACTATCATTTTCTATGTTCAGTGGACCAAGAAATTGGGGTCAAAACTCTAATTTGTAATTAAAATTAGAAAGATCATATCATAAGGAACATGTGTACTAAGTTTCAAGTTGATTGGACTTCAAATATATCAAAAACTACCTTGACCAAAAACTTGAACCTGATGCGGGACAGATGGACGGACGGAGGGACGCACAGACCGAACAACGTAATGCCCCTCTACAATCGTAGGTGGGGCATAAAAATCTCACAAATCCCAATTCATTTAGTCTGAAGTTAATTCTTAAAGGTTTATTACTAGTTTTCAAAATCAAATATCGTTTCTGTTCTATAAAAATATTAATAATTTCAACCCCTTTCTTCTTTTTAAAATGATATGATCATGGAAATTTTTTTTGTCTACTAATTATCCAAGTTTTTCGTGTCCCTTTGCACAAATTGTGCCTTTTCAATTTTTATTTCATGTATAAAGAGAAAGGAGAAAGGCAGAATTTTGTTTATCAAACGGAAGCCATCAGGATACATGTGCTCTGTTTAGCGAGAACAGGAAATCCATTGGGAACAACTCTAATATGGGTATTTGTCAAATGAATTTCAGATGGTCTTATTCGGTGGCCTGATATGGGAAGTATTGATTCAAGAGCTTCTTCTTCAAGGATTTTCTTGTGCATTTTTTCTGTTCTTTTTTGTTACTTTGATCCGACAATCACATAAGTAAAGTATTTAGTACTAATAAACCTAAATCAATAAAAATACATGATAAATAGCCCTGTAAAAAAAAATCATCAAAGAAACCAGGCTTACAATCTTGTATGCCACATCATCCGACTCCCATTTCACTACAGTGACACTCAAATCAAAAAATCAAATAGCCAAAAAAAGAACCAAGCTAAAGGGCATTGATGACCCAAAATTCTATGGGTAACTCACCATAAGGTAAAAGTTAGAAGCTTCATCAATGATTTAATTTGTGTTTTGTCTTGTTTTTTTTCCACTTTCAAAATTAAAGAACCTTAGTGAGCGCGCTCACATACCCCACGTCCCCACATTGTCACTGGAGAAATAAAATAACTGTAAGAAAAAAAAATTGTATAAGAAAAAAAAAATTGAATCATAATTTCCTGTCGATATGCACATCTACATAGTATGTCCTTATTATCTACAAAGTTTCATGAAATTCTGTTGTGTGGTTTCAGAGGAGTTGCGATGACAAACTGTTGCAGAGGTATATTGAAGCAAATAAGTTCAAAGGGGCGTAACTCCTAGAAAAAAAATTGAATCATAATTTCCTGTCGATATGCACATCTACCTAGTATGTCCTTATTATCTACAAAGTTTCATGAAATTCTATTGTGTGGTTTCAGAGGAGTTGCGATGACAAACTGTTGCAGAGGTATATTGAAGCAAATAAGTTCAAAGGGGCGTAACTCCTAGAAAAAAAATTGAATCGTAATTTCCTGTGGATATGCACATCTACGTAGTATGTCCTTATTATCTGAAAAGGTTTCATGAAATTCTGTTGTGTGGTTTGAGAGGAGTTGCGATGACAAAAGGTTGCAGTAGTATATTGGGCAAATAAGTTCAAAGGAGCTTAACTCCTGGAAAAAAAATTGAATCTTAATTTCCTGTCGATATGCACATCTTTGTAGTATGTCCTTATTATCTACAAATTTCATGAAATTTTGTTGTGTGGTTTCAGAGGAGTTGAGATGACAAATTTTGCAGTAGTACATTAAGGTAAATAAGTTCAAAGGGGCGTAACTCCTAGAAAAAAAATTGAATCGTAATTTCCTGTCGATATGCACAACAACATAGTATGTCCTTATTATCTAAAAAGGTTTCGTGAAATTCTGTTGTGTGGTTTGAGAGGAGATGCGATGACAAAAGGTTGCAGTAGTATATTGGGCAAATAAGTTCAAAGGGGCGTAACTCCTGAAAAAAAAATTGAATCGTAATTTCCTGTCGATATGCACATCTACGTAGTATGTCCTTATTATCTGAAAAGGTTTCATGAAATTCTGTTGTGTGGTTTGAGAGGAGTTGCGATGACAAACTGTTGCAGTAGAATATTGGGCAAATAAGTTCAAAGGGGCGTAACTCCTGGAAAAAAAATTGAATCGTAATTTCCTGTCGATATGCACAACTACATAGTATGTCCTTATTATCTAAAAAGGTTTCGTGAAATTCTGTTGTGTGGTTTGAGAGGAGTTGCGATGACAAGAAACAGGACTGACGGACGGACAGACTCGTTGCGTGGGGTATAATAACTTTGAAATATTGGAAGATATTTAGATGCCTCTGTCACTCAATCCGTCTACAACAGTAACAACAATTTAGATCATGATTGATTGGTGTTTATTGTCACTTTCAGCACTATTGTGCTATTTCATGGCAGTGAGTTTTTATTGGTGAAGGAAAACTGAAAATCCTGGTCAATTAAGACTGGAGTCAAGTGCACCTGCCACATGTGGGATTCGAACTCGTAGTTTAAGACATCTCGACAGCCTTCTTTTGTGTTTTATTATGCTGTTAGATGCCGCTACAAAATGATGTATCCCCTCTCCCCCCTGTCATCTATTATTTTGATTTTTTAACCTTTTTTGGAGTTTTCTTCGTGGCTTTAACCTGATCTTCAGTCTCTGACTCCGGTTGTTCTTCTTGTTCTTCCTCCTCTAGTTCTTCGTCAGAACTTGGTTGCTAAAAAAGTAAAAACGGAAAAAATTAGTTTATTCATATTACATATTAATCACATTTTTATTTATATCTGGCCTTCTGTAACAATTGACAAATATCTAGTATTGTAATTATATCTAAGTGTAAGGATTGTTTTAGAATTAAACACATTGGGATCACGAGAGACACTTTGTAAAGATTGCAACCACCCATAAAATAAAAATTTACATTTGACTTATAATTTTCACAAAATTCTAAGGAAATGCAACCACCCATATTTTATTAATCTGAGTGCCTTCTATTCCCACACCCAATTAATTCTAGAACAGCCCTTATGAATCTGATACTCTTTTTTGCCTCAATTTCTGTTAATAGCAGCAGACATCTTGGTTGGCATATTTTAATTGAATTGGGAGTTTTATTATTACCATATTGGTGATTTGGTTGAAAAAAACCCACATATTAATCAAACAAGATATATAAATACAATTTGGCTTAACTATCACATATTTTTTCTTCAGATAGACAAATTCTTTTAATGAATTTTCTTATACAACATGTACAAAGTTGGTAGAATTAATTTTATAAAAAAAATGTGAAAAAGTCATCTTTTTGATGTAAATTGGAAATAAAACTTTTCAACAACATATCTTTTTGAAAAAAAGTTTAGTATAATATTTTTTTTCAAAATCAACATTCATTTTCTGCTAGTTTTGTTTAGTGTCTAACTTAACTCATTAGTCATTGTTAGTCACAATACTAATCATCATAATACAAATTCATCATTAGTTGTCATTAAAGTCATGTCCCTCTTTGTGTCAGGTTGATTTAAGATATCAATTGTTTTTTACTTACCGCACCGGAGAATTTAACTTTTGGATTATTTTCTATTTCCCAGAGTCCTTCATTAAAACCTATCCGTTTCTGGGGCTTGGCATACTTGTGTTTCCACTTTTCGTATAAAAATATATCTTTAGTGGCAAGGAATGCTCTGAAAAATAAATAATATTCAAAGATGCAAATGTGATGTTTAATGACATCCCTGTTATTGTTCAATCACTATGTCTTGTATTGTTGCGATAATATCAATTCAAAATCTTACAATATGCAGCCATACTAAAATGTTTCTTTTGTTTTTCTGTATACTTTGTTTTGACCATTGCACAATACTCTGTCTTTATGTACTGAAATTACTGTATGATATCATCTATGGAGTACAGCAACCAGTGTCAAGTGTAGGACCTCATGTTTTCTAATCAGCACAAGCAGTAGGTTATGTACTTTGAACTTGTATTGAGTACAGTGGGATGAACATAATCAGGAAGGATATGCATTTCATATTTGCATTTGTTCATTTGTTATTGGTTATTTCCTTTTGTTCTTTTTAAGTACTATTTATTCCCTTGGAACCTGTTTCTCATTTTCACTTTGGCCTTTCCTTTTAATTGATTATTTCATGTAATTGTTAAAGCTATCTGTCTAGATAAACCACCACCCATCAAATTTTTAATAAAAGAGCCTTCCGACACCCCTCCTATTCCAGCTATTAAATTTTGTAAAAAATGTTGAATTCCAAAACCTCAATTGTTCACATTTACAATGTATGAAGGGTTAAGTTTGTTTAAATCTTTATGATCATAGAAATGAAATGGTATTTCACTGGATATAGTGGGCTTGGTTTAATAAGTTTTGTCCACTCTGTGTCAACTCAAATCCTGGATGGTTGGAAATATCAAAATCCTGATGAGCTGTATTCTATACTTGAGAACCTGATATTTGATTTAGACAACAGTTTTAGCACTCAACCACAGGCCCACCAGCCCAGGCTTATAAAAATGCTGTTGGGCCTGTAAAAATCATTTCTACAGGCCAACAGAATCTAACTAAAAAATTTTGTAAAATTCAGCTTCAGGCCTGTAGATTCAAAAGTTTATCGTGAAAACTGAGACAATGAACATGATGAACAGAACATGGAAACAATATGGATATATTTGTCTCAATCTCTGTACATACGTTTCATGAGTCCCATAGAAAAAGATTGGAAACTTTCCTTTCGGTGCTTGCTTTCCACCCTCTGGAACTTCATCAATCTGAAAAATAAAAAAAAAACATTATAGTTACACAGGGCTCAAAATTTTCATTCTGTGGTTAATTCCCTGAGGAAGCCAATTAATTACATTACTTACACAGGGTTTTCAATAAGCACAGACACCCAGCGAAATTTCCGTTTAAAATTAAGGAAATCGCTGGTTCAAATTGTGTTTCCTATTAAAATGAAATAAATATAACTGTGCTATCGTTGGGTAAAACAAGTTGTTATCGATTGAATTGACTTTTGTCTTCGCTTGCGCTTTGTTTAAGTGTTCACGTCAAGGTCCGCAATATAATATATTTTATTTTGGTTGCATGTATATTTTAAATTATGTACTATATTAACCAGACTATTTTAGTCTTAGATGCATGATTTTTTTATTAGATGTTATTGGCTTTGAACTGCTGTCAGTAACGGCGAGTCCTCTCAGATCTGTACTTAGCGTCTTAAACTGTCTTTTTGTTGTGTGTATGTTTGAGTACCCTCTAGTGATTTTTTTAATGCTACAATGTACCACCAGAAAATAATTAGTCAGTCATACAGCCTGGAATACTCATGTAGCACCATCCCTGCACGTTAAAACTGGTAACGACCAGGGAACATCAGGTGTGTACATGTAGCACCTGCCAAATATACATATTTTGGTTTTTTGTCAGCCATTTGTAGACATAACAACTACACCGATGCACCAGACCAATAAGTAACATTTAATTTAGACACAGAAGAAAAATATCAGAATATTGGTCTTTGGACTAGTAGTCAGGAAAGATTTTGGTTAAGTCTGCATCACTGATGTAAAATTTTGTCCTGTCAACCAAGAAAGGACTTGCATCACACAATAAATTGATTGTTGTACGATGTCAATTGTTCAAGTGACACAAATTTAATTATTGGGTAAGGTATTGCAGTTTAAGAAACAGCAATCAGGCAATTAAGGTTTACAAGTGACTAAATTTACATAAAGATTAAAATGTGCATGCCAGACCAGACAACATGACATGGGACAAAAAATCTGCATACCCTTGCTGGCCAATGTGGATATCCTTTCATCTTGGCGAATATTTTATCAAATGGTTTGTAATCTTGCTGTGCCATTGTTTTTTAAACGTTGTCAGATACGAACGTGAACCTCTTTTAGATGTAAATGGCGACGACAATGCCTACACCTCAACTTTGTATTAGATTTGCTCCTTTTTAGATCTTTGAGTCGAATACTAGAGAGCAGATTCCACAGTTTGACAATGTTATGCAATTGTTAATCTGTATAAACACGATCGTCTTGTAATTCTATTCATGTTGCAAGGATTTTTTCTTCCGCTAATTTTTGGTCGTGTAGGCTGCCATATTAGATTGTAGTATCGTAATTTCTCGCGAGCATTAAAATTTGGCGGGAATTCAAATTTACGACTTTGCTTTCAAATTTATTTTGGCTTTAGCTTCTATTTTCTTCAGATATGTATTAAATAACATTGAAGGTTCTATTTGTATGCTTATTATTATATGCTTATTATTATTTATTTGTTGATTAAAACCATTATCAAACTCATTTTACGCCAGTCGTAGTTCGCTATAAACAAAAAAAATGGCTTCCGATGAAGCCTTACTCTCAGAAATTATTAAATGCTCCAATTTTGCGGCAATAAAACACAAGAATCAAAGAAGAAAAGACCCTGAAAGCACCCCTTACATAAATCATCCAATAGGTTCTTAACATTGCTTTGTACAGAGTAGCTAATTAAATATAAATAATGATGAACGGGTCCCGTGCGAGACAACTCGGACCTTCAACAAATAGACAGTTCGGACCTTCAACAAAAAAATCAACTCAGACGTCTATAAGACAACTCGGAAGGTCGATAATGCCAACTTTTCAACAAAGTATTAATAGTAGAATATTGACTATATATCAATGATTTAATATTGTCTTTGACCTAAAATAAGCGAGATAGGGCTCTTCACGGTTAGTTCGGCCATATTGGATAGGGGGCAGATTTTCATAATGGAGGTAAAAATGGTGTGAAAAATTCGGGAAAACCACATTAAAACAGAGCAGTTGCTTGGAAACATGCATAGGGCTCTTAATATACTTTCATACTATTTCAACCTCTTTCAAAAAAATCTGCCCCCTATCCAATATGGCCGAACTAACCGTGTATTGGTACAGTATCTTCAATGTATATATACAGGAATCCATGATATCTCGGCCTTTAACAAAATCGGACTATAACAAACTCGGCCTATAACATAATCGGCCTCCCAAAATCGGACTATAACAAACTCGGACTATACCAAACTCGGACTACTAGAAGAATATAAGTATGATGTTTTATTTTGTTTTTATTTGAAATTATTTATCAATACTTAATTTGAAATTAATAATGATTTACAATTAATTAAGTAATTTATTTTGAACATTTTAGAAGCGAGTAATATAAATGACATTAACAAGATATGTATAAAAAGAAAATTAAGAATACATTCATTTAATAATGAAAATCTACCACTGATTTGTATTTCTGTATTATAATTTGTAATAATGTCCCTCTCAAAATAATTTATCATATGCATATCTTAATTGATTCAACTGGAAATATGACATCATGCCACGTGTATTGTTGACACCTTTTTAATCACCATAATTTAAACTAACAACTGACACGTGTACTATTGACACCTATGTAATCACCCAAGTGAGAACAAAACTACCTGTAATTACATGAAATTGAATTTGTGAATAACTAAATATCCAATATCCAGTATTTTCGCAGTAACAGCTTGTATATAACTGATGTTTTCAGGTTCCTTTTTTTTTTGTTTGATTACAAATTTTATGTGATTATAGGACAGTGCAGTGAATTGTATGTTTCTGATCATACTTTGTTTGGTTGAATCTCAGTGTGATTTATCTGTACAATGTAACACTATATATATATATATATAATAAAGAAAACATAAGGTTTACAAATTTTATTTCAGCAGATGTCAACAAACATATATATAACAATGATTTCGTCATTCATACATACTTTGAAAAAAAAAACAACAAACACTCCATATATAAATTAAACCCTTATAAGCCTGTCTATAGGAAGCTTATACAAAGAAGAAGTATGCAAAATCATGCAATCAACTTTATTTTCCAAATGGTAATAAATGAATAATGAAGCAATACTTTTCTATCCATAGCAAGTAAAATATTTATCAATATCATTATGAAGAAGAACAATATATAGAAGCACTTACCAGTATTACAAACTCTGTGTTGCCATAAACTACACGAATCACACTGTAAGGCATGTTGCTTTGTTGTCACTTTTCTGGAACACTCGACGCAGTGGTCGGTACCCATGTTGAGAATGATATGGGAATTTTTTTTCCATGTTATTTTATAGAACTATATGGTAAGATCAAAGAAATCTCTGTTGTTTTTTTAATTTTACTCCACATCTATTTTTAGATATATGTATAATAAATGTTTGCCTCGGCTTGCATTTCTAAAAACATTGTATCTGTTTGATGTGACCATTTAAATATAATTACTTTTCAATTGGTGAACCCATTAATAAAGAATTACAGATTAGTGAAATTGTTAAGAAGCCATTCACTGTCAATCAAATTTCTCTTTGTTTGTATACTAATTATGAACACCAAGGATTAAACATAATACAAACACGCACACACGCCAATCATTAAAACATCTTTTGTCAATAAAAATAATAAACGAGAAAATCACAATAATATTTCAAAAAGAAGTTAATTATCCTCATTCAAACATATCAAATTCAACTCATATAACACATATCTAATATGATGGAGCTAAGTTTTATTTTAATACATTTATATACAATGTTTTTTTCAAAAATATTTATCATAATCTCAAAATTCGTATATAATTCTTATATATAAAGTTTGTTTTTTATTAAAGTGAGAAAAAAAACCCACAAAACAATCTACTAATCGTAGTCCGAGTTTGTGCAATATATTTCCGCATATAAATAATGGTAGGCCGAGTTTGTTATAGTCCGAGTTTGTGATAGTCCGAGTTTGTGATAGGCCGATTTTGTTTTAGTCCGAGTTATCCAGCAGCGATATACAGATACTAAACTTTGGTTGAATTAGTCAAAATAATTATGACATCTTGAAAGCCTATTTAATTTTTTTGCTGTGACGCCATCGTAGAAAAATAGAATAGGCTTTCAAGACGTCATAATTATTTGGACTATGGTTGAATAGAAGGTGGCCCAACTATAATGCATAGAATAAAGGGAGGGTTTTGACATCTGTTTTTACTTTATATAAATGACGAAAAAGACAACTTGGACAGTCTATGAAGAGACATCTATATAGACAATTCAAGTTCACAACTTATAGGCTTTGGACAATATTGAAGTCAACTTGAAGATTGAATGATGCTCCCTAGGAATATTTTTATTTCTGTTGTTTGAAAGCTGTATACATGGTATAAGTAAATAATGTTTGTAATGTTTTGGTACATGTAGATTCTTACATGTCTTAGTTTAAACAATATTTATTCAGATAAATCATCACAAAACAATATGATACAATATATTAATTGAAATAAATATTAAGGATTCAGAAACAAGCAAATTTGCTTTTACAAATCTGTCTCCTAGTAGATTCTTAATTTTTTTTTTTTTGATATATATTATATCCTCAATTATATTAAAGTGCTGTGCTATAAGTCCTAACATATTCCAACTTTAGAATGAAACAATAACTATAATATTATATTATATTATACATACATGTATCTTTTAATTCACCAAAGAAATAATTTCAAGTCAAATAACAAATATCTCATTTACATAAGAATTTTTGGAAACATATAATTTGAGCACTAAGTTTTTACAAAATGAAGTAAAACTCTAGACATATATGCTAAGGAAAAGTTATCTCATAAAATTCATATTTTAAAAGCACTGAAGTTAAACAGTATGATTCATCTCATAAACTAGAAATTAATAATTCATATAGCCATGCGCGTGCAAGCACTATAATTATTACTAAGCACAATGTAAAGTTAATCTCAGAACACCGACAAAACCTGTATTCAAATGGATGGTCAAAAAAATGAGGGAAGGAATGCCCTTTATCAGCAAGCCTCAAATTTCCAATTGTCTGATGACAAAATGGATGAGCCTGAATTTTTTATCGTCATTTGTCAAAAGCTACCATTAGCGTCAAATGGAGTAAAATGTTAATCGTTAACGTTATTTTAACAAATATTTACATCATTTGTCATGTGGGGTACCCCATTCCGTACCCTCATAAATAGTTGCACACTTTGACTGTCATGTCTGGTGGCATACTGGCGCCATGTGGTAAACAGCATCCCTTGTGTCTGTGTTGTGTGTTTCCTTTGATATCTACAGAGCTTGCCTTTGTTGACTAGCTTGCAGTCCATTGGTGTTTTCTTTGCTTGCTACAAGTACATGAGGTGATGGGGAATGTATAATTGGAGTTACCTTTCATAACCATGATAACATTTAATCATTTAAAAAGCTCAAATTCTCTTTTAATACTTTGTCTGAGTTGTCATCATAAATGTCATCATCGTTATACTGAAATGTTCATGACTTACAAGTCTTTTTATGCCTCTGCCGTAGCGGACATGGCATCAAGTTTTCCCTTGTCCGTCTGTACGTACGTCCGTACTTCCCAAAATTTGTTTCCTTTCTCTAACTTAAGTTTGCCTCAACCAAATGTTATGAAACGTATACACAATGCTTATCACCACAAAAAACAGATTAAGTTTGAATTTTGGTGGCGTCACTTTTACCGTTCTAGATTTATGCCCCTTTACAAATGGAAAAATTTCTGAATTTTTCGTTTCCGTTCTCTAACTTTAGTTTGCCTCAACCAAATGTTGTGAAACTTATACACAATGCTTATTAGCACAAAACTCAGATCAAGTACAAATTTGGATAGCGTCACTTTTACAGTTCTTGAGTTATGTCCCTTTAGAACGTTATATGCAAGTGGGGGTATCATCTGTGTCCCATGGACACATTCCCCATTTATTTCTCATAAAATCTTTTGTAAAATCAGTCACCTGCCTGCATTTCACAAAAAATCTTATGACGTTGAACTAATCATATTATGGAAAGGGTGATTATTTTTTTTTCTTTGATATTATACAATTTGCTCATTTTACCTGCAAATTTCAACTTGAAAGATGTATGATATCCATTTAATTTGGTAATTGAATTCTTTCTTAACATATGTGTCAGTTAATGATAAAGTTGTAAATGAAATACATAAATAGTCTATTAGTCAAACAACTAAAAGTAAAAATAGATATACCTACTGTGCTACTTACTTACTTTAAAAAAAGGGAGGGGGTGGTAATTAAATCAAATTATTTAAATTATATAGAAATTTTAAGCTTTAATGCTAAACAAGAAAAACGATCCAAGATAACTTTACACATATTATAGGTAGTGGGAGATGACTTTATAGACGATCAGAGTTGACTTATCATTCGGTCAGAGTTGTCTTTGGGATGAGTTGTCCTGCATTCACTGTCGTTATGGGGTTCTTCACAAAATATCTTACGACTGAAATTGATTGAAAGTTATACAAAAATGTTCATAACATTCAAGTATTTTTTCTTGGAAAATCTTTATAAAATCAGTCACTGTAACTATTTCTCCTGAGATCAGCCATGTAAATATTCTTGTTGGGTTAATTCCTAGTTCTTGAACATGTTTGCTATCCAGGCTTGGCTTGTTGTCCCTAGGAGCTATAAATATGATGTCACTCACCGGGTTCAGGGAAGTCTACTGCCTAGGACTTGAAATGAACAGATGCTCATACTTTGGCTCTAAGATATGGAACATTTTTCATTTGTTTTAAGGCAAAAAGTAGACTAGCCACCACCGTAGTTTTATATTTATTGTATGTAAACTTATGTTCAACCATATATATATCTTCTAAATAAACATCTTGTTTGTACATCTCTGTCATGTCTGTAGTTAGTCCACTATCCCAGAACTTGGGTAGACAACAGGAAGATAGCCAATTCAAGCAGTAGGAAATCACACTTGTACTTCACTTAATATCATTACTTTTAGTCATAAGATTTTTTTTGAAATGCAGGCCTTGTGATTATAGAATACACCTTATGTCTATTTGTTTGACATTGACTACTACAGTAGTTGACCAGAAATGGAGTGATTTTGATAGTAATGGTCGCTAAACATTTCAATAGACCAGTATTTCCCAGTACTTATACGGTAAATTCAGACCTTGTCATGCTTGTGGATGTGAAATATAGATATTTATTTTTTTCAATTTTCAGATAAATTTATTTTGCCAATTGTTTTCAGATGAGAAAAACCTGAAAATTTTAAGGATTGTATTGAATGATTTGTATGTATTTACAGGCGTAGCTTATATACTGACAAATGAAGGAAAGATTACAGACTTAAGTGTAGTACAGGTATGTACATAATAATTTTATAACAAACCATTGCATATTTTAGTAATAAAAACGCAAGTGTTACCATACACTTACAGGTAGAGTGAGTGGATCCCATACATGCCATACTCCTAACACTTCTAAATTCTAGGTAAATTCTCAATATAACGCCAGCAAAATTGAATATTCCTCCTTAATATTTTGAAATGATCTCTTGCACTGAAGAGACTTTATTGTAAAAATGTGCATCTGGTGCAGAAAAATTGGTACTGTTAATGTTATTTGATTACAGCTTAAAATCTTTAGATTTTTTTTATTATGATAGCAACTTCTCTCCCAGCACACAGAATTAATTAGCTTAGTTCCACAATCAGGGTATGGATGATCATGGGTAATAATCAGTTTTATTTCTGTGCGATATGGTAAGTTTTCAGCAACATCCAATTACTGTAAACACAGGTATAAAAATTATATTGTATATTTTTATATGTTCAATATTTAATTCAGGTAAACTTTTATTGAAAACCTTTCTTTGATTCAGTACTCATTCTTTCTTGTCACATATGTATGGAATAATAAAGTGTATAAAACATGTTATAAAATTTTAGGCTGCATTGTTACATGACACCGTAGAAGACACAGATACAACATTGGATGAAATCAGTGAACAGTTCGGAGATGAAGTGGCAGGTTGGTTTTATGGTCTCCAGGTGATAAGAGTCACAAAAGACAAATACATTGCCAATCTGATTAAAATACAGATCCTGTGTCTACACTTTACTTACAAGTATCTGACAACATTCCTTTCTACTTTTTGTTCTGGTAATTTTTACATCAGCAAATGAAATTTCAGCCTTCAATTTGATAGTTTGCATATTACAACAAAACCAGTGGATCGCTTAAGGTGTCTAAAACATAAAGTAGAATGGGGCATTGTCAGATCCCTGTATGGAAAGATCTTTATTTCAATCCCATTGATATATATTGCACTCATATATTTCTTTAACCAATGTTTAGCCTTAAAACTGTAAATTCTGCAATTTTGCATGCATTTATTATTAGGATTGATTATACTGATTTAAGGAAATTCTGCATAGAAATTCTGCTTTAAAATTTTAACTGCAAGTTTTTATTTTTACCAAACCTAACCCGTCAGTTTAACAATAATTAAACATTGTTGAAATTTTAGAATTTGAAATATTCAGCTTTAGAACCTAAAAATTTCATCTGTATAATTATTCTGTAAATTCAGAAATTAATGTGTACATTTATTATTGTGAATACTTGATCACTGTCAAAAATTCAAAATCTTATTAATGCGATTGCTAAAAGTTTTATGAAGGAAAATCACTACTGAATTATGAATGCAAGTTTTCATTATTACGAACCTGGTATTGTCACATTTTTTGCATTAATAAAAACATCGCAAAACTTTCTGAATTTACAGTAATTGAGTTATGCTTCTTTATCATCATAAATAGTATTAAATGTAATATATTGCAAAAAATATTTCAGATTTTTGTCTCGCTTTGACGGAGTCAAAAAGCGAGACATAGGTATGCTGTTTCCTGCGTCGGCGGCGGCGTCAACAATGTATTTGTTTGTGATTAGGTCTAGTTCATGGTGGACTACTAGTGGTAGGTCAATGATATTTGGTATGCAGTTGTATTAGCATTGGCATATCTCATTACCATGGAGATTATTTGGCCCCACCCCTCAGTCAAGGTCTATTGACTTTGAAAATTTTGCTAAGTTTACATGTATTAGTTTGTGATTAGGTCAATGATATTTGGTATGCAGTTGAATAGGCATTGGCATATCTCATTTCCATGGAGATTATTTGGCTCCGCCCCCTTAGTCATCGTCTGTAGACTTTGAAAATTTTGCTAAGTTAACATGTATTAGTTTGTGATTAGGTCAGTTCAAGGGGAACCATTAGTGGTAGGCCAATGTTAATTGGTGTTCAGTTGTATAAGCATTAACACATCTCAGTTCCATGGAGAATATTTGACCCCACCCCCTCAGTCATGGTCTATTGACCTTGAAACTTTTGCTTAGTTTACATGTATTAGTTTGTGATTAGATCAGTTTAAGATGAACTGTTAATGTTAAGTCAATGATATTTGGTATGCAAATTTATTGGCATTTGCAAGTACTGTTTCCATGGAGATTATATAGCCCCACCCCTGATCATGGTTCATTGACTTTGAAACTTTTACATAGACATAGTTTACAAGTTAATGGTTTTTTTTTGTGTTTATGTTTGTTTTAAGGGAACGACTTATAATAAGTCAATGGTATTTGGTATGCAGTTGTATTAGCATTGGCACATCTCATTCCATGGAGATTGTTTAGCCATGTACCTTCAGTCATGGTTCATTGACTTTGAATATTTGCATAACTTACATGTTAAAGTATTGCTATTTTAATTTCAACATTTGCATTATCAAAATTACAAAAAGGCGAGACATATCTCTGTGATAACAGTTTATTTAATTAGTTTGTTGTAAATTAGACTTTGATTATTTTCAACACAAACATATAAGTCAATCCTAAAGTAAAGTTTTTCACAACTCAAAGAATTGTTTTTATTGAAGGACATGTGATTTTGAATCTGTTGCTTTGTGGATTAGAACGTTGAAATTGTATCTAAGTGCATGGGTCTAGTACAAGGCAATCTTCATATTCCTATTCATTTCAGTGACCAATCATGTGATATTTGCCACTGGACATTGCTTAGATACCCATCCATCTAATATTAGGTGATAAAGATTTTTTTTTTCTGTTACTCTTTAATCATTCCTCACTAAATCTAGCAAAGTTCATTTGTAATCAAACCTGAAAATAAACACACACACATATATACTCTGAAACATATAAATGAACATAAAATTAAATAAACATACAAGACTAACAAAAGCCAGAGGTTCCTGACTTGGGACAGGTGCAAAAATGTGGCGGGGTTAAACATGTTTTGTGAGATCTCAACCCTCCCCCTATACACTTCTATAAGCTAAAAAAAATTGGTAGAAAGTAATATTCAAATTTGATATAGTAGATATATACTAAAATGTTATACTGTGTTCCTTGTGGACTAGCACATTGAAAATGCATTTTAAATGTGTGAGTCTAGAACAAAGCAATGTTCATATTTGTATTCATATCAGTGACAAAGCATGTGATATTTGCCACTGGACAAGTGATAAATTGTTTTGTTGCACATTCTTCTTTTTTACAGGTCTAGTTGATGAAGTTTCAGATGATAAAAGTTTATCCAAGATTGAAAGGAAAAATCTACAGATAAAGAATGCACCTCATAAAAGTTACAAAGCCAAACTGATCAAGTTAGCAGACAAATTGTACAATCTACGAGATCTGAAGAGAGCTACACCAGAAGGCTGGAGTGAAGAACGAGTCCAGGAATATTTTGTTTTTGCCTTTGGAGTTGTGGCTGGACTTAGAGGAATAAATGATGCTATGGAAAGAGAATTAGATAAATTGTTCAAAGAAAGGAGTTTATCAGATTCATAGTTCAATAATCTCAGTATTAGATACTATTATAAAATACAATTATCTCAGATTCTTTTTTCTCACCTAAGATGATTGTTGGGATGAAAGACTTACTGCTATTTGTTTGTCAACACCTGGGATATCGGTCATAAATCTAGTAAGCAATCGAGTACAAAATTTGTGCTTGAAACAACAAATCCAGTATTTGGATTGGTTAAATATTGAGTCTGAGTATGATAATTAAGTCTCCCAAACGAAGTTTGGGAAGACTTATTGTTTTTGCTCAGTTCTTATTATTATTATTATTCTTCTTCTTCTTCTTCTTCTTCTTCTTCTTCTTCTTCTTCTTCTTCTTCTTCTTCTTCTTCTTCTTCTTCTTCTTCTTCTTCTTCTTCCGCCGCTTTTAAATTTGAACTTGTCCGCACCCGTTCTCCAAAACCGCTTGTCGGATTAACTTAGGGTTTCACAATATGTTAGACTAACATGTCTAGTGGTGCAATCAGGGTTTTGTTTTTGCAATGGGGTTTATAAAGGGGTACTTTGAGGGGCAAAAAGAAAAGAGGGTTTTACTATAGAACCCTATGGGATTTTATTTTTTAAAATTTTAAAATGATTATAAATTGAAAACCGTTCGTGATAGACACAAACTTTTTAATTGAAAATGTTCTAAATGATAAAGCCCATTAAATGAAATACAGGGTTAGTCCCCAGGGGTCACCCCCACCCCCTGCCATTTGAGAAAGTTCTAATACCTTGTAAGTGGTCAAGATCCCCACCCCTAAACCATATATATTCTTGTTTGTCATGCTAAGATGGTTTGAATGATATACAGGGTTAGTCCCCAGGGGTCATCCCCACCCCCTGTCATTTGAGAAAGTTCTAATATCTTGTAAATGGTCGAGATCCCCACCCCTAAACCATATATATTCTGGTTTGTCATGATAAAGCACATCAAATGTAATACAGGGTTAGTCCCCAGGGGTCACCCCCACCCCCTGCCATTTAAGAAAGTTCTAATATCTTCTAAGTTGTCAAGATCCCCACCCCTAAACCATATATATTCTGGTTTGTCATGCTAAGATGGTTTGAATGATATACAGGGTTAGTCCCCAGGGGTCATCCCGACCCCCTGCCATTTTAGAAAGTTCTAATATCTTGTAAATGGTCGAGATCCCCACCCCTAAACCATATATATTCTGGTTTGTCATGATAAAGCACATCAAATGTTATACAGGGTAAGTCCCCAGGGGTCACCCCCACCCCCTGCCATTTAAGAAAGTTCTAATATCTTCTAAGTGGTCAAGATCCCCACCCCTAAACCATATATATTCTGGTTTGTCATGCTGAGATGGTTTGAATGATATACAGGGTAAGTCCCCAGGGGTCATCCCGACCCCCTGCCATTTGAGAAAGTTTTAATATCTTGTAAATGGTCGAGATCCCCACCCCTAAACCATATATATTCTGGTTTGTCATGATAAAGCACATCAAATGTTATACAGGGTTAGTCCCCAGCGGTCACCCCCACCCCTTGCCATTTGAGAAAGTTCTAATATCTTGTAAATGGTCGAGATCCCCACCCCTAAACCATATATATTCTGGTTTGTCATGATAAAGCACATCAAATGAAATACAGGGGTAGTCTCCAGGGGTCACCCCCACCCCTTGCCATTTAAGAAAGTTCTAATATCTTGTAAATGGTCGAGATCCCCACCCCTAAACCATATATATTCTGGTTTGTCATGATAAAGCACATCAAATGTTATACAGGGTAAGTCCCCAGGGGTCACCCCCATCCCCTGCCATTTAAGAAAGTTCTAATATCTTCTAAGTGGTCAAGATCCCCACCCCTAAACCATATATATTCTGGTTTGTCATGCTGAGATGGTTTGAATGATATACAGGGTAAGTCCCCAGGGGTCATCCCGACCCCCTGCCATTTGAGAAAGTTCTAATATCTTGTAAATGGTCGCGATCCCCACCCCTAAACCATATATATTCTGGTTTGTCATGATAAAGCACATCAAATGTTATACAGGGTTAGTCCCCAGCGGTCACCCCCACCCCTTGCCATTTGAGAAAGTTCTAATATCTTGTAAATGGTCGAGATCCCCACCCCTAAACCATATATATTCTGGTTTGTCATGATAAAGCACATCAAATGAAATACAGGGTTAGTCTCCAGGGGTCACCCCCACCCCCTGCCATTTAAGAAAGTTCTAATATCTTCTAAGTGGTCAAGATCCCCACCCCTAAACCATATATATTCTGGTTTGTCATGCGAAGATGGTTTGAATGATAGACAGGGTTAGTCCCCAGGGGTCATCCCGACCCCCTGTCATTTGAGAAAGTTTTAATATCTTGTAAATGGTCGAGATCCCCACCCCTAAACCATATATATTCCTATTTGTCATGTCTCGAACATTTGAATGACGTATACGGTCAGTCCCCAGGGGTTCCCCCCACCCCCAATGTTCTAATATCTTGTAAATGGTTGAGATCGCCACCCCTAAACCATATATATTCCTGTTCGTCATGTAATGAACATTTGAATGACATATAGGACCAGTCCCCAGGGGTTCCTCCCCACCCCCAATATTCTAGTATCTTGTAAATGGTTGAGATCCCCACCCCTAAACCATATATATTCTTGTTTGTCATGCCAAGATGATTTGAATGATATACAAGGTTAGTCCCCAGGCATCACTAATGCATATAACTTTACTGGACCAAACCAATTTTCAATGGATGTTGCCCAATGTCAGGCGACCCTGGGAATTACGAATTATGGGAGCTTCGTTTGGGAGACTTCGTAACAGCATCCTGTTACATTCATTTCTTGTTGAAATCGAAATTTTTACGATTATAACTTGGAAGTATATTCCAAACAGCTTATGTAGCAGTGGCGTTTATAAAATTGGGATGATATAAGAACTACTTGTTGTGATATAGATATTTGGTATAGAAATTCATACATGGATTGGGGCATTAGCTAGGAATGAGTCAAAAAATAAAAATATGAATATTTTTTGGTTTCAAACATTACAATTAAAGAGGAATATTGAAATAATATTTTGCTATTAGCAGTCAGTTTGGTTCAATTTCGCCAAAATAAGTTATAAAACATTGCTGATGTTTTATTAACTTTGTCAGTTTGTATTTCCAATACATGTATACCTTTTAGTATGTTATAAATCAAATATGAGAATTTTGGTCAAATCAATGAACATGAATAATGCTAATGCCCCTTTAATGATATTAAGTGGATACTGTAAACAAAATAATTTGTGTTCGCATTTTATTAATGTCTTTTTTAATAAGAAAAATAATAGGAATAAAATTAGTTGCGAATATCTTAAAATACTCTGAAGATAAAAGTTGTACAGCATTATTTTTTTTAGATTATATATTTTTATCGAGATGATCATGAAATATTTGCCACTGGACATTCAGCAAGCAACAATCAATTATTATATGAAGAAGAACTTGCTCAAAAGAAATAATATTTGTTATGCAGTTGTATTTCATTCATAAATCCTATTTGCTTGCAGCCAATTAAGCAAGTGACCTGAAATGATTTTTGTCCCGCCTTGACTAATGATAAGTCAATGTTATTTGGTATGCAGTTGTATTAGCATGAGCACATCTCATTTCCATGGAGATTGTTTAGCCATGTACCTTCAGTCATGGTTCATTGACTTTGAATATTTGCATAACTTACATGTTAAAGTATTGCTATTTTAATTTCAACATTTGCATTATCAAAATTACAAAAAGGCGAGACATATCTCTGTGTTAACAGTTTATTATACATATCCACTTATAATATTTTCACCATTTTTCTATCACCCTGCATAAAAACTATTGTCAAGCAACATTACTCCAAAGCACTGTAAATATAGAAATGTTTGCAATGTTTTTATTAAATAAAAAATTGTTCCAGAATAGGTATTGCTAAAATAAAAAAATGCATTTTAAATAATGATAGCAATATTTGTATACTGCATTTACTGAATACACATTAATAGTATACATGTATCTCACGTTTTTCTGTATTAGATTCAAATATATATATATGCACACCTAAATTTCAATTAACAAAAAAAAAATGAAAATAAAACATCATTAAACAAACAGATTGGAAATTACTGAGAAAATGAATTATTATTTAAGCTTGTCCTTAGGACTCTTCTCAATAATTAATGTCTGTTCAGTTTATTTGGCGATTCTAATTTATGTATTATTAAACAATTGGGGTAAGGGGTTCAATGGTATTTTAAATAAAATTTGATAAGTGGTTATATATTTTTAAAGCTTTATCATCTGTAAGAATCACGTAGAATTAAATGAAAGTCACTGTTGGTTGTTGGTGTAATAAGTGGTGCCTCCAATCCCTGCACAGATTAAATTCTGGAGAAGCATTCATTTTACTGCTGTTCATTTTACATACAAACCATTATAATAATATAATTTTTATATGAACTTTTTTTTGACAATTATTATATATTGAAGGTTGGAATTTATAATTATTAATAAAGTTTTGAAAATAAATTTGTTAAATAAGCTATTCAAACAAACATCAGTTCCTGCAATATTAGATCTTCCACTGATTGATCATATACTAAATCACTAGCCTGTCAACTTTGAGTTCGTGAGTTCAAACCTTGCACATGGCAGGTGCATTTAAATTTCAATCTTACAGCCGATTTCATTGAGCATGTGGGCAAATGTAATATCTTTGGTTAGCTTGCTTGTTAGCTGAACCGTGAAGTCATTATTAGGTCAGGTATACTACCCTCCTTTCGAAGTAGCCTAGTCCAACAGACAGATAGATTGGTTAGCTGTCGGACTAGTCTACACTTAAAGGAGGGTAGTTTACCTAACCTAATGATGACTTCACAGTTCAGCTAGCAAGCAAACTAACCAAAGATATTACCTTTGCCTACACACTCAATAAAATCGGCTGTAATTGACTAGGATTGTCATTTTTACTGCCGAAGGTTGGTGGTTCTCTCCTGGCACTCTGGCTCCTACCACCAATAAAATTGACCTCTACAATATAGCCAATAGAGCTGAAAGTGGCATTAAATACCAACAATCAATCAAGCCTCTGATTGATACGCATTCTGATTCAATTTGATTTTCTAGTCCTTGTATTTGAAGTGAAGATAGATTCTCTGAATTAAATATTTTGAAATTTCTTTGGATTTAAAAAATCATACATAGATATAAGAAGATGTGGTATGAGTGCCAATGAGACAACTCTCCATCCAAGTCAAAATTTATAAAAGTAAACCATTATAGGTCACAGTACGGTCTTCAACACGGAGCCTTGGCTCACACCGAACAGTAAGCTATAAAGGGCCCCAAAAAATTACTAGTGTAAAACCATTCAAACGGGAAAACCAACGGTCTAATCTATATAAAAAACGAGAAACGAGAAACACTTATGAACCACATCAACAAACGACAACTACTGAACATCAGATTCCTGACTTAGGACAGGTGCAAACAAATGCAGCGGGTTTAAACGTTTTAATGGTACCAAACCTTCACCCTTTTTCTGAAACAATAGTGTAACATCACAACATAGAAAGACACACTATAAAATAAAAGTACAGTTAATGTTATATCATGATAAAGACATAGCTATACATTTATAATCGGGAAAGTAGCACAGGAAAAATTAAAAACATATATACAGATCTCCATTAAATAGTTATTAAGAGTGAGCAAATCCTTCTTCTATGATTGAATATATCTAACAATACAATAAAGAGGAGCTATCCACCACAGAGTCACAGACCAAAGGATGATGATGTAAACAACTATAGGGTAGCTAGTGTAAGGCCTTCAACAATGAGCAAAACTCATACCATATAGAAAGCTATAAAAGATTCTGGCATGAAAAAATGAAAAACAAATCAAAAGAGCACACCAACAACCTGATTTATGCCAAAAAACAAACAAACGAAAAATAATATGGAATCCAGCCACCCACGACAAACACTGAATTACTATAAAATGACTAATTTTGTCAAACATGCTTGCCACTCTGTCGTAACTTGGTGTCTGTTGTCACCATACATTTGTTAATTTTTAAGCTGACATTGCCCATTACCTGGTTGCTGTAGACTATGTTGTGGGATGTCTATTTTTTGTTGTGGCTTTAATCGTTAAGAAACTAGAGGCCAAATAGGGGCCAAAAACAAGACTTTTCTAATACTGGCTAAGCTGGTTCTAACATAAGTTATTTCTGATCTATATAAAGAAACATCAAATACTGATATGACAGGAGATACACATCAAACGGGGTGTAAATTATTATACTTAGTTTGTAAACAGATTTACTAAGTATTGCGCAACAGCAAAGTATTGCACAACAGCAAGAAATCTTCAATTGAAAATAAATACAAATCTTTTAACTAATTTCAATGAGGATTAATTGAAAGTCTTGAATTGTTTGAGGTTTTCACCATGTATTACTATATTGGATATTTGGACATTTTTGAATAGGTCTACATTGAGGTCCAAAGGGTCCAAAATAAGGCTTTGTTTGATTTCATCAAAAACTGAATTCTTGTGGTTCTATATGCTGAATCTAACTGTGCATTCAGATTTTAATTTTGGGCCCTGTTTTCAAATTAGTCCATATTAAGGTCCAAAGGATCCACAATTAAACTTTTGAATTTTTACTAGATAACATTTTTGTTCGCTTTGGAGATTCCGTATATCGTCAGGTTATCGGAATTCCAATGGGGACTAACTGTGCACCACTTATTGCGGACCTTTTTTTGTATTGCTATGAGTTACAATTTATGACAAAAATCAGTAAAGACCCATCGAAACAACATCTGATACACAAATTTAATAATACTTTTAGATATTTGGATGATATTTTGGCTCTCAATAATGACGACTTCAGTATGTATACTAAAGAAATTTATCCTGTTGAACTTACTTTAAATAAAGCTAATACTAACAATGACCACTGCCCTTTCCTCGATCTTGATATCTATATCATTAACGGAAAGCTTAATACTAAAATATATGATAAAAGAGATGATTTTTCATTTCCTATCGTTAATTATCCATTTTTAGATGGTGACGTTCCCTTGTCACCATCTTACGGTGTTTATATATCTCAACTTGTACGATTCGCTCGTGTATGTAATAATGTTTTAGATTTTAACGAGAGAAATTTATGTATTACTGAAAAATTATTACACCAGGGTTTTCGATATCACAAACTAGTCAAAACATTTACTAAATTTTATCATCGGTATAAGGACATCATTCGTAAATATAGCTCAACATGCAGACTTCTTATACGTTCAGGTATTTCACATCCAATTTTTTATGAAAATATTCTTTATAAAGCACAAAAATGTCAGTATTCACCTCTGAAACTAACAAAACCTTTAAATAGACTTATTAAGAAGGGATATAGTTACGATACTGTTGTCAGGTCATTAAAGATTGCATATTTTGGCGTTAATATTGATTCACTTATAGAACACATTTATTTAAAAACCAGTTGTTGGCATGACACGGGTTATGTTCTTCTCGGTAACAAGACATTTCGGCACCCAGACAAATCGGCACCCAAGTCCAAAGACATTTCGGCATCCATTTTGGACATTTCGGGATCCGGACATTTCGGGACCAAGACAATTCGGCACCTCATTTTTTTAAATATATATATTAGGAAAAATAAAAGAATTGTTACAGTAATATTATAATCCGTAGATAAAATATGCAATACAAAATTTGAAATCATCATTGAATTAAATCCTAAATGATTGTGTAATAGTAAAACATCATTTAATTAAATCATAATTGATTGTAAGATATGACGGTGTTTGAATAAACATCATTTAATTAAATCATAATTAATTGTAGTTATGTAT